GGGGTCTGGTCCAGTGGCTTTGGTCATGGACCCTGAGCGAAACGGGCAGTTGTCGGCGTCATAAAATTCCATCGTGAGAGCAGCGGGTCTATGTCGTACGGAGGATACCGTCGACTTCCGCGGGCTTCAAGGGCCGAGTCAGTAAAACAGTCCTGGAGTTTCATTTCCTTTGCATCTACTGTCTACACTAGAGCCGTCAGTGAGTGAACTTTGCACATTGACGATCTCTCCAAAGTGCACGGGGTATTATTACATGCGGCTGTCGCTCGTCACCGCTCGACCGCTTGCCCCTTTCTCCTTTATGCGGCGACAGTCCTGTTTAAAGACACCGATCAATGTGTCCTGTCTTCTCCAGGGACCTTGGATGGTTCTGCGGAGAAAGAAGAGCGGCCGCGGTTTGATGGGGCTCTGGGAGCCTGACAAGTCGGTGTCGAACGGGAGCAGAAGGCAGACCGGGACTAGGGTGGTAGGCGAGAGAACCTGAAGCGGGAAGAGGAAAGATCAGATGAAAGAAGCACGGTGGACACCGAACTTCGACGACTACGGAGTATGCCCACTCACCATTTCCTTGCCAGGCTCTGTGTGTCTTGTCATTTTGCGCAAGATCTATGGGCCTCGAATCTTGAGCCTTTAGCCTTGAGCTTCGAGCCTTGAGATGCTACGGTAGTGGCTCTCTTGGCCTCCCCCATTGCTTGACTAACCCGGTAAGGCAAACCTTTGGCGATCTTTCGCCTGACTCAATTCGGGCAAGCCCCAACTGTGAGAGCCAATGATGACGACCCTCCGGTCAACCTGGTCAATACCCTCGTCGGCTGTTTCGAGATTGGTTGGCTTGGTCGCGACGCCCCTTGAGATGCTGTGAGGTACCGACACCGACACTCAGGGGTAAAAGTGGACATTGCTGAAGACAAACCTGGAACCTTGATACCTGATGAGGCCTTGGGAACAGTCTCATGCATTCATCAGCACTGTGCTGCACCACTCGCGCACGCATGGTGGATGTCATGGATCCTGCCAGCGAGGCTCCTTCTAGTGCAGGAAACGGAGCCGATCCATCATGCGTGGCCGATTTCAATGCCGCCTAGGGAGTGTGCTCCGGGGATCCGTACGGTTTCGGGGGGGGGGGGGGGGGGGGGGTTTGGTTGTTTTTTTGGTGCTGGCGGAGGTGCTTTCTCGTTCTAGCATAAAGCTCGCTAGAAATACATTTGCTCCTTCACAGACGTATGCATTCGACATGGACTAAGATGTGGTCGTCCAGAACAATGGCAGTATCGTCATGAAAGTCTGGCCTGACTGAGACAGGAGACGAATATGAAGATGAGCCGGTGAGCCGGTCCATGGGTTTCCTGCCGCCGAAGCCATCCGGTCCGTTGCAGAACACCTGGATAGCTAATCTTCGCCGACGTTGAACAATCTGAGGAACGCCCGACGCTACCACCGATCTCCGGATGTTGGACTACATCGTAGCCACCTTTGTAGGTGCTTCAACGGCTTAGTAGTAGCGCACTGACGCGTGCGTGAACACATTCCCATCGCATGAACCGTCAGTCGACGGCGTTACGCCCTGCGAGACGATGCTAGCGGCAGCGTGCGCCGGCCAACGTTTGGTCAGAAGGGTGCGACTGAACCCGGTGTGCCTTCATTAGCGGAGAGGATCAGAGCACTCGAAAGCGATCTGATCAAATACAAATCAGCAGTATTCGTAGTTGATGCCCAAGCTTTGGCACTTGTACCCGGAAGCCGACTGCCCCGTTTACAGCGGTGAATTGCCATCTAGAATTGGATTCGAAAGGGTGTCTATGGGATGGTTTGTATGGAGCTGGTTGAACGACCAAATACAGTTAGCGCCGCTGTACGAGTGTCTTGGGCGCATGTGGGACACTGGCGTGTGGTGGTCAAGCTGCATGACGCTTCTGCAGGTACGATGCAAGACAAGCTGCAACCTCTCGAGAATCAAGGCCGAAGAGCAGTGCTTCGTAGAGCTTCCTGCGAGCGACGATGACGGCAAATCAGAACCTGCCAGCTAGACATGGGATGCGGAAGCAGCGGAGGGAGCGACAGGGATTCCACAGTTCGTCTCGAGTCTTGTGCAGGAACGGCGACACAACCCGCCTTGGACGCCATAGCGGATGGTATTGGCTCTTGGGATGTTTACTGGAACGCTTCGAGGTGGACACAAGGCCCTCGGCCGTGGACAGCGGCCTTTGTGATGCCCTGTCTGAGACATCCCTTTGGTTCCAAGAGGAATGGCGAAGCAAGCGCCTCGACGCGTTGTTGTCCGATATTGGCTTTACAGCTCCGTCCCAGGCGTGGGACGGACACTGCCATATTACTTAAGGGAGACGCCGAGCATGCAGCTGCGACCAAAGCCGAAGGGCAAAAAAGACCAATGTCAATTGTCCATGAACCGTTCCGTTCGTATAGATCAGGCGACCGCGACTTGAATTGGCGTGACAACCCCTTCCCAGACATGCCGTTCGTGGACGTCGACGACTGGCTATCTGTTCCGGGACGCGCCGCCAACTGAGCCATTGTGGAAGCTCTTTCAAGTCCAGTCTGTCGTCTCGCACGGAGATGACTGGGGGAGGGGGGGTTGGTAGCCTAGTAGGAGAACAGCTTCCGGATCTGCAGCGCCTGTCTTGTCGACCCTCGAGTTGAGCAGCCTCGCAGCGACGGGAATCAAGCCAAGGGCACCGACGATGTCAGAGAGCCGCCGTCAATCAGTCGACTAAAGCGATACGGAGGTGAAGACCGAGGCCGCCTGTCTTCTGCCAGCCCGCCCAGCCTGACGGGTGGCGGCGGCATAAGCACTGTGGCGGACAGGCAGGTGCGCGATTGCCAGGGGCGCGAGCGGACAGTGTGGTTACGATCATGCACCAGGTCATTTCCAACACTGGGTTGCCTTGTCTGTTAGTCGACTTCCGATGCTTCCGAGCGCGCCAACGCCGTTCTGTGCATGGCCAAGTCGGCGTTCTTCGTTGTCGACCAAGTCCAAGCCGGCAACGCAGCTTTTACCACCAAGACCTTGCAAGCACTCGGCGATGGGCGTACCAGCGCAACTTGAAGCTCTACTGTACATAGTTCGGTCCCAAGACGGATGGATGAACCCACTAGGCTCGCAAAATCGGGACGCCAGCATCTGAGCGGGCGCTTGACTGCCTGCAAGAGCCTCGTCCTCCAACAGCTTGACCATCCCGTCATCGGATGGCAGCTGTCTGCGATGCATTGTTGTTTTGCCACCGCCAGCGCCCCCTCTTTCGAAGACTCCGGAAAGCTGATTATTGCAGATCCAAGCTCCAAATGGTGTGTGTGTGGTTGAGGAGGGGGCAAAGGCGGGAAATCATGGCATCGCCCTCCACAGGTATGCGTGGGACGAGGGGTCGGATGGAGCAACGTTCCACGGCAGCAGGTGCGCGATGAGGCGATGGGTGGTGCACTTTGTACGAATACTGGACGATGATTGCTCGAGGCGGCTAAACGTGCTGTGCTATTTCGAGAGATGTTCAATTGATATGGTGCCCTTGCTGACGTTTTGTTTGGGATCGGCTGCAGGACAACATGTCGGGATGCTGTTGGCTGTTGACATGCTGCGAACTTGTGGCTGCTGCCGCCATTGTGCACTCATCCGGCGAGACCTGACACAGCTCGTGTCGTGTGAAAGAAGAAGACGCGTCTTGGGTCCTGGAGACTAGAGGGGACAAGCGGAGAGCCGACCAGACACGGATCGCCAGAGACAGGGACAGGCTGGGTACTTGGGAGAAGTACAGTGCGGGCGCACAGGTTGACACACGCATCGTGCATCAAGTATGGTGGTGTACGATGTACACTACGCTATGGTATAGGTAGGTAAGGCATGGGCGCGCAGGTGCATTGTTCAATTGCCCGTGCAGTGATGCAGAGCGATCGACCAGCGCCAACCGAGAACGACTGTGGAGCAAGAGAGCATGAGAGAGAGAAAGAGAGAGAGAGAGAGAGAGAGAGAGAGAGAGAGAGCGAGAGGGAGATCCCGGCGGCGGCAGAGGAGGATGAGGGGGAGGAAGAGGGAGCAGCCCGACAAAGTTCCAGAGCAGGAAGGGACGAACGGACGCCAACGGGGGACAGGGGTCAAGCGCCGAACGTCTGTTGTGACGGACCCGCTTTCAGTCAGCTGGGTGTCTCTCCTTCCTGTGACTTATATACCTAGTGCAAATGTGAGAGTAACAAAAGACGGGTTAGCCGCGCACAGCGAGCTAGCTGGCGTAGGCCCATCGCTGCTTCCTCACGAGTCCAAGCCCTTCTCGTGACTGTCATTTCACAACCTACCGAATTCTAAGTTGCGGGAGTTTGTCTGTCTACCTAGGTACGTATGTAGGTAGGTAAGGTGCCTTTGGGGTAGGAAGCAGGGCCCAGCTCCGCGTAGGTAGTAGTTTCCCCATGTGGGCATGAAACTGCAACGCAAGGCAGCCCAGAATGATGGATGGATGGTGGGTTGGTTGGATGGAAAGTGCGGGATAGAATGGAGTATGTGCATACTATGTCTCCGTACTCCGTACTAAGGAAGGAAAGACGGGATGGATTGGCGGGACAGAGGTGCACCCGGGTACGCACGCACATACTAATAGCACAGAGCACGATATGGCAATGCATACATAGCAAACGACATTATAGGTAGTCTAGGTCTTCGTAGCGCCCTCCCTCCCTACCTTTATGCCGGTATGGGCTAACGGTTGGGATGTTTTCGCAGAAACAAACCCCTGCTCGAACAGCCCCGACGAGACGGCAGTGGCTTTGCAGTACTTCTGGCGTTGCTTGAATCATCCGCCTTTCGCATGATTAAGACCCAGTACCGTTGCTTCGCACGAGAGGCGGCTCCTCGGGCGTGTTTACACGGATGGGTACGAAGCAGTATACCTACCTGCCGCTCTACTACGATGTCGGTCCTTTCTTGACTGTTTCTGTTTCTGTCCTGTCCTGTCCTGCCCTGTCTTCTTCCTCCCATCTATCCCGTTCGCTGGAGTGACATGAGTACGTACCTCAGCGGCGTTACTCACTTCTACCTACCTACGGATAGTGTACTGTACATCCCTGACCGAATGCCCCACTCGGCCCCGAAGAGTCCGTTCTGACCCACACAGTCCCTCCAGCCACAACAGCACATAACTTTTTTCCAGGCTCAGTTGAGCAGGTTGAGTTATGCACGCTGGATCTTTCGTCCATCGTTCCACTATCGACTCTGCTCTCCCCCATGAACGAAAGCGATCGTCTGCACAAGCACCAGACACACGCGGATCCCGGTCCTTCGACCCCCCTGCCAGTGTGAGCAGTGGACTGTCGTCTCTTTTCGGATGCTGAGCATGAGGCGTTGCAGCAAGTGGCTTCCCAGACGGCCCCCAAAAAGGATGGGGACATGCCCGTCTGGTGAAAGAGCACCATAGCACGCACGTACGAGGCTCGCGGGTATCGCAACACATTTGGCGTGTGCCTGCCCACCCGGCCCGGCCATGGTCCACCGCGTTTCCTTCTCGACGACACAATGAGCCCAGGCCATATCCTTCTGACCTCGTGTGCATACCATCCGTCGTCAGCTTTCTCAGTAATGCATCTGTCCATCTGCCAGCTTCACCGAGTACTTACCTGGCGACCACCACAGTTCGACACGGATGCCGCGATTCAAGACGGCAATAGTTGGTGAAGTTGCAAAAACTGAGCCATTGGCCCATTGGGGACGACGCGCTTGCCGGTGTCTCTCCCTTTTCCTTGCCCTCCCGCCTGCTGGGATCGGCGGTGTCTCCCTCCGCCGCTGCGGGTTTCTGCTTGCCCCCACCTTTTCATCGACAGCCACTGGACACAAGGAGCAGCCCAGTCAGTATCAAGACGGCAAGGAGCTGCAGCAGACGGTGCAGGCCCGCCAGGTTGTCTAGCAGGGCCAGTCCATTGATGATGGGATGCAATGATGCATCTCCTACATAAAGCTAGTACCAACAGCCCCGACAAACCAACGGGCGGCGGTGTGGGAGCTGGGGTGGAATAGAGACCCAAGCCGAGAAACCAGCTTGCCTGGAGCATACGGACAGTGATACACAAGCGACATGGCATGGTATGCCATGGCACGTCAAAGGAAAGGGAGACGGAAGTCGAAGAAGTACCTTTCTTTCTATCCATCCATCATCCATCCGCGCAGCGTAAGCCTACCCAGCAGACAGAGAAGCTTGAGAAAAGACTAAACGGGGAGGGGAGGGGGGATATCCGCCAAAAAGCCACTTGAAGCACGGTTTACCAGCTTGAAGCAGGCAGAGGTACGTACCGTTCATCGGCCGCAGGTACGAACGGTAGGGTGGCTTTTCCCCACCAATGAGAAAAGCCGCGTACCTGACACTACCCCTGTTTTTTCCCTTGTCGTATGTGTGAGAGGGTGTGTGTGCCCCGTTCGAGTTGCCCACACATCCAGCCCCGGTCCACGCCCGCGCGCCATCTTCCACTGCTGCTTCTCCGGCTGTCTGGCCTTTTATATTTTTTTAATTCCCCCGAACTCTCTCCTGTCCTGTTCCCTCCCCTCTTTATCCACCCAAAGTTCATATCCTTGCGTATTCTCTCATCCGCAGTAGATATCTTAATTGCCGTTGTGGATCGTCTCTGACAGTAGGAAAAAAGACTGACGAGCCAGACGAAACGAGAGAGGGAAAGGGGGAGGAGGGGGCAGAGGTACATGAAGTTGTCAAAAGGGGGAGAGGGGGGAACGGGGAGGGTTATGGGAGTACATGCTTAGCCTTGGCCGATGTGTGCGGTCTCCATGTACCTTGCTCCGTACCTCTCTGACTGGCGATTGTGCAGGTTGTATCCTTCTATCCCATCCCCATCCCATCCCGCACACACTACTGGCTACTGAGCCGTTGCACACCCACCCAACCATCCATACCCCCCCTTGTCCCCACCCCAGCTCACGCCCCTCGTCCCTCACCCATATTCGTAAGCGCACAAACACATACACGCCTCGCTTCTCTAGGGGGCTCCTCGCTGGAAACCGACTCGACTAGGCTGGGCTGGGCTGGCTGTAGACTTCCCTGGGCTATGAGGGGAGGAGTGTGGGAGGGAGGCGTGAACCGTCCCCGACAGATACCAACCAGCCTAGCTCACTCACACCCACCATCAGAGGAGAACGAGTGGACTGGCATCGGTTCTTTCGTCCGTTCGTCTGTTCCCTTTTTTTTTTTCTTTTTTTTTTTCCTCTTCCCAGCTGGGGGGATCCGCCCTCCACCTCGCGTCCTTTTCCTTTTTCTCCTCTCTTGCCCCCCCATCCCTCCTCCTTCCTCGTCGTCCCATCTATCTCCTCATCGTCATCCTCGTCGTTCACGGCAATCCCTTCCTCTACTCTTCCTCTTCCCCCACTCCTTTTTTATTTCCTTTTCACAGTCACTCCTTCAAATAATTCAACCATAAACTCAGCTTCCGAATCCCGTCACTCCTTTCCGGGAATTCTCGTTTACGTTCCTTCCAGTCTGGTCGAAGTTGAAACATTCATTCTTCGCGAACCCACGATACTATTTACACATCCCATCTCCTGATCCTCTTGTTGGATCTCGGACCACGCTCCTTAGCATCTTTGCCTTGCGGCTCCTTCTATACCTTCCCTAGCTGTGCAGCACACCATTCTACCACCTTACCCTCCACCTTATGCGCCTTTGAGCGTCCACGAGAACCACCTACTCTATTCGAACCCTCACGTCGCCTTCCGGACACAGTTTACACCGAGACGACTCGCAAACCACCCGTACCCTGACCAGACATACTCCGCGCTAAAGCGATCAACCACCTTGCCTTCCCCTCATCGAACGGAGAAGCACGAAAAAGATTAGCTATGGCTACTGAGATCGATATCCCAGTGGCTCTTGCCCACAACGCCTCAACTCCCGGCGCTTCCTCTCCCCAGGACACCTCCCCCACGTCCGCAAGCAAGATGAACCAGACCCCTTCTCCCTCGGCTTCAGCCCAGAACGGCCAGGGTTCCTCCTCGCAATCAAGGCGCCCGCCTCGCAAGAGCACCTTGACCCAGCAGCAAAAGAACCAGAAGAGACAACGCGCCACCCAGGACCAGTTGACGACTTTGGAGATCGAGTTCAACAAGAACCCGACTCCTACTGCCACCGTTCGTGAGCGGATAGCGGAAGAAATCAACATGACCGAAAGGTCAGTTCAGATCTGGTTCCAGAACAGGTATGCTGCCCGTCCCTCTACACCATGTCCTCCCCGCCAACGTTTCTGACCCCCTTCGCAGACGCGCCAAGATCAAGCTTTTGGCGAAGAAGAGTCTCGAGACTGGAGAAGACATTGATTCGATCCCCGAATCCATGCGAGCCTACCTCGCCATGCAGGCGATGGAGTCTGGTAAGGGCCTGGGCGGCCCCTTCCTCGGCCGAACCGGCCTTCTGCCCTACGGCCACAGCAACATGCTTGTCGGCGGCGACCCGAACGGCCAGGGCAAAGTTTGTAAGTGATGCTAGGCTTCGAGACTATTGAGGTATCCTACTAAACATTCACAGTGATCCACCATCTTACCTGCCGTTCTCTCAGCATCGGCAAGTGGACTCGCGTCGGACAGAACACGATGGATCTCATCATTTTCTACTCCCCTGACAAGTGCACCATGACCTACTACATCAACAACGAACAGGCAGGTTACAAGATCGAATATCCCTTTGCCTGCATCAAGAACATCTTCCTCGAAAACCAGGAGGGCGACCCCAACAAGCCTGGTGGCATCGTCATCGAGCTGAACCGTCCACCCAACTTCTTCATGGACTCGTCTCCTCAAGCAAACGGGTTCTTCCAGTGTGGCGACTTCACCGAGGACCAGCAGGCCTCGCAATGCATGGTCCACCACCTCGGTGGCAACCCCAAGGTTCTAAGTGGTCAGTTGGCCAAGCTCGTTTCCCTGGAGGCTTTCATGAACCGCAACAACCCTCACCAATTCATCGACCAACAACACGCTCTCTCCGTGTCCGCGCCCGTGTCGCCCACCGGACGTCCCTCGTCCCAGCCCAACTTCGCTCAGCCTCACATTGGCATGTTCCAGGAGTCTTGGGGCATCAACAACATGCATCCTGGCATGCGTGGTCCTGGTCACAAGCGCCAGCGCAGTCGCTCGGTGCCCATGGCCGTTGACTTCTCCATGCTGCAAAACCCCATGCCTTCCTTCTACATCCAGCAACCGGGTGAGATGTCGGCTCCTCAGACTCCTGGCCCCAACATCTACGCTCCGATCCCCCAGCAGCCTGGTGGCTTGGGTCCGAACCTGAGAATCGACACTCAGGCTGGATTCGGCCTGGACATGAGACAGTATCCCATGTCGGCAACGACTGCTTCTCCCTCCGACTTCCCGACGAGTCCCAACTTTTTCTCTCAGGGTCCGGAGCCGAGCCCTCTCCCGGCCTCGAGCTACAACACGCCGTACGGCACCGCTTTCCTGTCTCCGATGGCGAACCATTCACCAAGCATGATCCCACCCTCTGTGTCCCCTCTTTCATTCGGAAGCCATCACGGGGAGCCTTCGATTGTTGAGCAGTCGCCTCCCTTTTCCATGCCAGGCAGATCGGCCTCGGCCGACATCTACCAGCAAGGCGACAATGGGTCATGCGCAGTATCTGACGACGGCACCGGCCTGAACGAGATGTACTCGAAGCACACCATCAACCTGCCAATGCACCCTCACTCACCGGCATACGGCGACCAGGGCCACGCCGACCTTGACATGAACCAGCTGGTTCAGTTTGACACCGTCGACCCCAACTCCATGTCCCCCGAGTCCATGCATCAGACACCGCACTGAGTGGTTCTGTCTACAACCTGGCAGAGCTAAGCATGCCAGAGTTGACTGGGAGCTCCTCGGTGTAGGACAACATGGCGTACATACAAATTTGGGGCGTGCTCCCAAATGCTTTCTTGAGAAAGAAAGGGGAGTTGGCTTGCCTTTGGTCATTCACAGTTGGCGTTGAGGCGCTTGATATATACCAGATGGGTTTCGCTTGGTTTGCTTCCAACACCGATGATTGCATTGCGCGATCCAGTTCTCGCTCATTCACCCATCGGCCACGACGACTCTGCATGACGATACTTCTATTCGGAATCTCGATCATGCATGTCTGGCACAAGCGATCGTATAATTTGCACGTCGTTTGGATACTAATCCAACATTCTCGAGCCATTTATTGTCGCCAACGAACACACTTTGCGTGCTACGATGTTTAAGGCATATGTTCGTGTCATACTTCGTCATCATTATCATTTTTGCCACGCCGATTGCGAACAGACGACGGCGTGACCCCTAATAACAATTCCCTTCGTCCTCGGTTGGCTTGCGCTGCACATTACTGTCTCGTTGATCTCTTTTATATTTTATCTATTCATTTCATCTGTCGTCGTTCATGAAACTCAGATGTCCTTGGCTGCGGGCTTGGGAGGAATGCAAAATTTGGAGAAGAAGCCCAGGTGGCTTGGGATTTCTCCTGGTTCTTAATCAGTCACACACACACACTTTTGTGAGGATATACAACTCTCAGACGCACTATTTTGTCTCCCTTATAGTGTTGGGTATTTTCTTGGGTTGATGGGCTGTGTGGGGGAGCAGGGGCTTTTGTGGCTTGTGTGTTTGTATGCCGGCATCGCAGCGGCGGTTATGGGAAACCGCCTGCTCGAGGGTCGAGCAGCGAGGAGGCTTAGCTGGCTGTTGCTCGAAAGAGACGGCTAGCTTATAAGTATTGACGATAGAGTTGAGAGACAGATGGGCATCGAATCCCTGTTTTTCCCACTTTACACCGACATGAATGCTTGATTCCGTGAAGTTGAAATTTGCCCATACAGTGAGTCGCGAATCGTTGGGGATGTGGGGCCGGCCGTGAAGACCGGCGATGATTTGCGACTAGTGCAAAGACATGGGATAATGCTCCACGGCGTTCGGTTGATTCAGCCCATGGCAGTGACACGATGCGACAACGTCCGGGGCGAGTCAAAGCCCGATGTCCCAAGGCAGGTGACAAGGGTTGATGCGAGATTGCAGAGTTGGATCCGAAGCAGATCGGGGGGTTAGGGAAGCGCAAACCAGAGTCGGCTGTTGGTTGGTACTGCAACCGAATGTTGAGAGCAGACGCAACATTAGACGGACCAGTTTGTTCTAGAAGGCGCGTGTGTGCTCGCAAGGCGCGCGGTTGTCGCCATTTTTCTCACGTAAACGGTATGGGTATTCATGCCAGGTAGGCGCATTTGAGCACGGCTTACGTATAGCAATAGTATAAGGCTGAGTATGCGAGTCAGTTTACGTTTTACGCAAGAATAAAGGGGGGGGGGGGGGCACCGCCAGCAGCCTTGTTGACGCCGGCGTGTCCACCCCCCGTTTTCTCTCGTATATCTTTTCTGATCCAAGGCTGTGAACCTTGTGTGTTGAGTATTGGGCATGTCACCCTTACTGCGTTTTCCGGACCGTGTTACTGTATCATTTGTGGGCTCGTGAGGCCCCGAGAGGGACCGACCGCCTTGGATACGAGCGTCTGCGCCACAATGGCAGCCAGAGTTAGTTCTGGTATGTTGTGACATTGTTGGTGAGCGTGACGGGGAAGACGGCCGGAACGAGACATGGTGGTCGTTTTTTTAGCTCGTCTTCCTTGCCTGGGGTTCCCCTGTGGCAGGACCCGACATCCTAGCTGTGCGGCCACGTTCGTCTGAAGGTTGAAGGTTTCCGATGCTGTCAGCAGAGGGGCACCTCTGGCCGCCCTAAATCAACGGCGGGCTAAAAATAATGATAAAACGACAGCAAGAAGGAAGAAGGGGGAGGGGATACATGGGCCATGATGGTGAAGGCTGACGGCACAAACTAGTTTATTTGCCTGCCAATGCCGCCATGAGATGGGCGGCGGATGTTTCGGAAAAAAACACAGAAACAAGACGGAGAAAGTGTGATGGAGGTCATGACTGTCGCCAAGACGTTTATGCTTCTTTACCCAATGCAGCATGCTCTCTGCTGCTTCTTCCTTCCCGCGGCTTCCGTGAGCCCACTCAGTCGGTTGAAGTGCAGTCGCTCTGGGAGGGGGGGGCCTTGCGCACCTCGCATTCTGGTATCTTCTCACCCAAAAGATGAGCATGATGCGGGGCACGCAATACGTGAGATGCTTACTACTCGGGCGAACTTCATGAGGCATCAAGCAAAAGGGAAGAAAAGTGATGGTGGTGGCAGTGCTGAATGCGGGCCAAGACTCGTTGGAGCCACCAACACCGACTCGAGCGTCGTTCCTCACCTCGTGGTTGGATCCCAATGGTTATCTCACTGGCACCCGCATGACAAAAAAGATGGCACACCTAAAGTACTTTCTCACACCACATCTACCCCAAGACTATTGACAAGTGTTTTTTTATACACTAACACAGCCACAAGACGCAGTAAGGATATAGGAAAAATATATTTAATAGTAGGTAGAACATACTGGCATTAATTTTGACTATTTTATATAGGTATATCTATGTATTTAGTGCTGTGCTGTTTATAATAGTACAGGGAGTGTTTAGGTGTGTCATCTTTTTTGTCATGCGGGTGACTGGTTACCTCACTCTACCTACCTAGGTACCTTGGTAGTGTACCTATTACTTACCTAGGTTCCCAACTCCGACGCCTTGGCTCTCCCCCCACTCCTTCTTTCCCTTTCCAATCCGTCACCCCCTCCTTCCGAATATGAGCCACTGACATGTCTTGACTTTTTGCCAAGCGCCTTGTTGCGCCCGAATCTCTTGCGTGCCAGTGACCCTATCTACCTATATGCTGTCCTTGTCTTGCCCCATCCGCCGCCTTCCCCAAACGTGCGATAGAACGTAGGATCGGTCGGTCTCCATTCACGGGGTCTCTTCGCCGCCAACGCTTACTTCCGCGACTTTCCTCCTTGTATGGGAATGCAGAACCAACCGCCCGAGCTTTCCTGTCTTGCCTTTCTCTGTTGCACTACATTGTCTTCTTGCCTCAACTCGCTCAAACTCTGCTCTATATTAAAGTTTCAGCCCTGCAAGCATATCTCCCATTCTTCGCCCGCGGCCCTTGGTTAAATAATTGCGCTGACCCGCACCTTGTAATCCTTACGCTACCAGCAGCCACGCCAGATCCAGAAAGGAACGCGCCACCACAACCGCGCCGGGGCCCAATGAGGAGTGGCTTCATGGCAGAGTCACTGTTGTGAATCCGGGCCGCCATCCTAGGGGATCTGGAACAAGTCCAAATTCGCTCCCCGTCGAGTCGCAAAAGACAAAAAAAAAAAAACCACTAGGTAGACTCAGCCACTAACCCCGAGCGCGCCCCTCGATCTGCGCTCCTGGCGGGTCTAGCCCGAGACGGCCACGATCTAGACGGCAAACGGCAAGCCTGCTCCCTCAAGAATGCCCCGACGAGACATGGCCGACGCCCCTTCGCAGCAAGATGAAGACTGCGACCCCGCCACCACTGTCCCGTCGAGCTCGAACCTCTTCGACAACGGCGCCCAAGAAGATTCTCATGACCTTCCCCAGTCCTCAGTGAACCCGGCGCATCGCCCAGCGCAACGACTTCACCCAAGACGAGCCGTCACCGATCCGATGGGTAGCAAGCGCACCCTCGACGGCGGCTATGTCCGCTTCTCGGACGACCTGCCTCGCGACTTTGTGCGCGGCTTCGACCCGGATGAGTCCCACCCGAATATGAGCAACCCGGGACTCTACACGATCCCCTCTAGAGGTAACCTGGAAGGCCATCTCCCGCCCGAGCCGTCCTCCTCGCGGCGCGCCCGCCCAAACAGCGACCAGAGCTTCGCCCAGCCCTCGGATACTGATCTCAAGTATCCCGTCTACCGCCCAGAACCCACTAAAAGGACGAAATGGCGTGTTGCTAAGGAGTTGATGAGCGACCAGCTCAAAAAGGCTTATAATGTCTACATCGTCCAGGGGCTGTTGCGCCAGAAACCCCTGCCCCCCAGCGCAGACGGACGACACATCCCGCTTGACTTGTCGAGGAAGCGAAGCGACGTCCTCGTTGATGAGCGCACCAAGAAACCGTATGCAAGCAACTTCATCCGATCTAGCCGATACACGATATGGAGCTTCTTGCCGAAGCAGCTCCTGTTTCAGTTCAGCAAGATGGGCAACTTTTACTTCCTCCTCATCGGTATCATCCAAGCCATACCGGGTCTCAGCACCACGGGACAGTGGACAACGATTGCGCCTCTCGCCGTCTTCGTGTTCTTGTCGATGGCCAAGGAAGGCTACGATGACTACCGTCGCTATCTTTTGGCCAAAACAGAAAATCTGAGCCGTACCTGGGTTCTGGGAGAACGGTCGAAAAAGGCGATGGCGAGGATGAAGAGCCGTAAGGGACTCGAAATGGCCGAGGCTTCGGTGGACGGGTGGACCGAGATTGAATGGCAAGACCTAAAGGTCGGTGATGTGGTCAGGCTTCGCCGCGACGATGACGTTCCGGCCGACATTGTCCTGCTGCATGCAACCGGACCGAACGGCACGGCCTACATCGAGACCATGGCTTTGGACGGAGAGACGAATCTCAAAGCGAAGAGGGCATCCCCAATCCTGGCCGAAAGATGTCAGACTGTGGAGGGAATCAAGTCTTGCCAGGCGACCATTGTTTCCGAGGACCCCAATATGGATCTCTACAGGTATGACGGCCGTGTGACCGTCAAGGAAGAGACGCTGCCGTTGTCACTCGACAACGTCATTTATCGCGGTTCCACCGTCCGAAACACCACGGAAGTGATCGGTATCGTCGTCAACTCGGGCGAGGAGTGCAAGATCAGGATGAATTCCCATAAACACGTGCGCACCAAGGCGCCAGCCATGCAGCGCGTTCTCAACAGAATTGTCATCTGGCTCATCTTCGTGCTCCTTGCGCTGAGCAGCGGACTGACGTTGGGCTACTATCTCTGGAGCGACCCTACCGAGGCGGCGTCCTGGTATCTCATGGGCGACAGCATCAGCATGAGAAAGATATTCATCGCCTTCATCCTGATGTTCAATACCCTGATCCCGCTATCTCTGTATATCAGCTTGGAGATTATCAAGATCATCCAGTTCTACATGATGGGAGATGTCGAAATGTATGATCCTGTCACCAACACACCGATGGTTGCCAACACTACAACTATCTTGGAGGACCTTGGCCAGGTCAACTACGTCTTCTCTGATAAGACGGGTACTTTGACCGAAAACGTGATGCGCTTCCGAAAGATGAGTGTTGCCGGTACTGCCTGGCTGCACGACATGGATATCGAACGAGACGAGCACGCCAAGCAGAAGCTTATCGAGATGGCCCGAAAGAAGCGTAAGGGAAAGGGGAAGGATAAGAAACGCGGCAAGACGACAACCGACAACGAGCATGGCTCGTCTCAGCTACAGCCAGCCCAGGGACGTCCGTCTACCAGTTCCTATGGCCGAGGGCAATCCGCCAGCAAGGCCCCTCGTGATGAGCCTGAGCTGAAGACCGAGGATCTACTCGACTACCTGCGACGCAAGCCGGATACCGCGTTCTCCAAGAAGGCCAAGCAGTTCCTGCTCTGCATCGCTCTCTGCCACACCTGCCTACCCGAGGCCAAAGAAGACGGCAAAATCGATTACCAAGCTGCGTCCCCTGACGAGTTGGCCTTGGTCGAAGCAGCGCGTGACCTGGGATACCTCCTCATCGATCGACCCGCACAATCGGTTGTTTTGCAGCTGCCAGAAGCCGACGGTACCATCAAGAGGGAAACGTACCAGGTCCTCGACGTGATCGAGTTTAGCAGCCAGAGAAAGAGGATGTCCATTATCATTCGTATGCCTGATGGTAAAGTCTGCGTCTTCTGTAAAGGCGCCGACAACGTCATTCTGCCTCGTCTTAAGCTCGGTACCCTAGCCACGCAAAAAGCCAACGAAGTCAATCGGAGAGCTTCAGTCCGCAGAAGCGTCGAAAAGGACAAGGCTCAGCAGCAACGCCTGAGCACCGGCGGCACACCTCGCAACAGCTTCATGATCGGGAGAACGTCAGTGTCGGACCGACGCAGCATGATGAACCAGAGGATCTCGGGGGACATTTACAGACGTTCGAGTGTCGTCAATGAGGATCCTGAAGCCTGGTCCCCACGTAGAGGGTCGGCAGATATCCTCTCACCCATGGGAGCCCACGACATGTGGTCATCCCCCCGTCACAGCACGGCAATGTCGGCGAGTGAAGCCGAGGTCGACGAGCTCATTGACGAGACTATCGCGCTGAATGAGGGCGCAGTGTTCGAGCGGTGCTTTCAGCATCTCAATGACTTTGCCTCTGACGGTCTGCGGACTTTGCTCTACGGTTACAGATACATCAGCGAGGATGAGTACAGCTCTTGGAGGAAAATTTACCAAGGTGCCACTACCAGTCTAGACAACCGACAAGAGAAGATCGAGGCCGCCGGTGAGTTGATCGAGGATAAATTCGATCTTGCCGGGGCCACAGCTATCGAGGATCGCCTGCAAGAGGGGGTGCCAGACACCATTGATAAGCTTCGTCGTGCCGAAATCAAGGTCTGGATGTTGACGGGAGATAAGCGCGAGACCGCCATCAATATCGGACACTCTGCCGGACTGTGCAAACCGTTTTCGGACGTCTTTGTTCTGGACGTCACGATGGGCAACTTGCAAGACTCTATCCTGTCGACCCTGGGCGAGGTTTCGCGTGGTATGGCCCTTCACTCTGTGGTCGTGGTCGATGGCCAGACTTTGAGCGTTATTGAAGGGGACGAGGACCTCAGTTTCCTCTTTTTCGATCTCATGGTGAGAGTCGACTCGGTCATTTGTTGCCGTGCCTCTCCATCACAAAAAGCCTCTCTTGTGAAGCGCATCCGTCGACAGGTGCCACATTCCCTGACCTTGGCTATTGGAGACGGAGCCAACGACATCGGCATGATCCAAGCTTCTCATGTCGGTATCGGCATTTCGGGTCGAGAGGGTCTGCAGGCTGCTCGTATTTCCGACTACGCCATCGCACAGTTCCGCTTCCTGCAGCGTCTCCTGTTCGTTCACGGACGCTGGAACTACCTGCGAACTGGCAAATACATCCTCGCCACCTTTTGGAAAGAGATCGTTTTTTTCCTGCCGCAAGCCTACTTTCAACGATACACGGGATACACCGGAACATCTCTGTACGAAAACTGGAGTTTGACGGTGTTCAACACGTTCTTCACTTCATTGGCGGTCATCCTGCTCGGTGGGTTGGAGAAGGACCTGCAGCCAGAGACGCTCCTCCGGTTCCCCGAGCTGTACACATACGGCCACAAAAACAGAGCTTTCAATGTCAAGCTTTACGTCGGCTGGACATTCCTTGGCCTGGTTGAATCGTTGATCATTTTTTGGGTGACTTGGGCTGTCTACAACTCTCTGCCGTTCGACCAGGACACGTCGCTCTACGCGATGGGCAGCGTTCCCTTTACCGTCTGTGTAGTGTTCATCAACATCAAGCTGATGTAAGTCAACCCTGTATGAAGTCGTACATAAGTCCCCCTCTAACGTCCACCCAGGGTCCTGGAGATAGAGAACAAGAACGTGATCATCTTGATCGGGTTTCTCATCTCAGTTGGAGGCTGGTTTCTCTGGAATATCATAATCTCAGCCTCTTTCAAGAATATCTTGCGCATATACCAAATTCGCCACGCTTTCCTGCAGAATTTTGGTCAAACACTAAGCTTTTGGACCACGATGCTTCTCGCGCTTGCGGCTGTCATCTGTCTCGAGCTAGTCGTCAACGCCATACGCCGCATCTACTGGCCCTACGATGTGGACCTGATGCAGCGTCTGGAGAGAAGGGGATTTGATGAAAGCGATAGGGAGGCCGGACACGGGCACGCTTCGGGAACGATATCAGAAGTCATGGGAAGCAAGACCAAGTCGGCCGCTGGCCAAGAGGAGGAGGTGCGGCTGTCTAACTTGGATGGGGCACCTAGATTGAGCCATGCCAGAAACCGACCGTCGTTCCATCAGACACGGCATTCGAGAATGTCGAGGGAGGAACATGCTCCCAGGCTCTTTACGCCCCCGGTTGAGGAGGTCAATGGAAATCTGGAGGCGGAGCAGGATGAGCAGAAGCCACCCAAGAAACCACGGCTTTCTCTGGCAACAAAGTGGCTGGGTAGCGTCAAGGACACCCGTACGGATGTGCCAATTGAGTTACAGTCTGCAAAGTGATGAAAGAGGTTAGGTTGGACGCATTCACGCGATTAAAGATGTGTATGACATGAGGGTTCCTAATCTCTTGGCATGGGAGTTGGGGTCATGATGGATGGTGAACATACGTGATCTGTATATACAAACAGTTGCACTTGGGGAGGAGGGCTTCAACCTTGTAGCAGCTTGGACTGTACTTACTACTTTGCTTTTTTTCTTTCTTCTTCTTTTTCTCTAGATACCACACAGAGGGAGACCTAGGGTCCCCGTGCCTAGCACATGTAGTAGGCCGAAAAGTCAAACATTCAAAACAAAGGGGCTGACTGAATGTATTGCACGTAGCACCAAGGTCGCAAAGAAATAGAGCCTCTCTCCACTTGAACCCAGCAACACGGGTTCTCCGCCGGTGTCCTCTCACCTTTGGATTACTCACGTTCAGGGAGACAGCGGCGGCTGGCAGGATGACAATGAGTGAAGTCAATGGGGTTCAGCACAGGGATGTGTGCCATTATGCATTAGAAAAAAGGGGGCAGACACAAAGTGTCGGTTTTATGTACAAGATTATAGTTGGAGCAAATCCCTCTGCCCTCCCTCACAATGGACAAGTCGTGGGTCTGTTTTGTAGCGTGATTGTGGATGCTGAGAGGAAGCCTGTCACAATCATGATTGCGCGGAGGTTGAGGCCGGCGGTGGAGGGATTAGTTGTCCTTCTTGTCCTCAGATTGCTCCTCCTTGTCGTCGGACTTGCTCTCCTTCTTGGAGTCATTGCCCGACTTCTTGTCGTCGGACTTTTCCCCCTTATTGTCGTCGGGCTTTTCCTCCTTCTTGACGTCGGACTTGCTCTCCTTCTTGGAGTCATCGCCCGACTTCTTGTCGTCCTCGGGCTTCTCCTTGGGCTCGTCGCCGGACGATTCTTCCTTCTCAGGCTTGGAGTCTTCTTTCGAGTCCTCCTTGGACTTCTCTTTGGAGCCGGACTTCTCCTCTTTCTTCTCCGTGGGCTTGTCCTCGGATTGTTCCTTCTTAGAGCTATCCCCAGACTTCTCTTCAGACTTGTCCGACTTTTGGTCCATCTCCTCCTCCTCCTTGGGTCCCTCCTCAGCTTCTTCGTGCTTTTCGTCGTGCCCAGCGTGGGCGCCGTGGCTCTTGGGAGACGGGCTGTTCCAAGGTTGGATAACGGCAATGCCGGCAAGGAAGACGGCTAGTGAGCCAATGGCACTATAGTGAGAATGTTCATCAGCAAAACACGCAGAAAAAAGAAAGAAAGAAAAAGGGGGGTAGAGGCAAGGTTGGCGTACAGAGGAAGCTCGCTCTGGGGCTTTGCGCCGTGTTGGCTGGCATAAGTCCTCTGGGTGAGCTGGGGACGGTACTGAGGCCGAATTGTACGACGCGCCGAAACGCGGAGGGCGGAGCGAATGGAAGCAGCTCTGGAGAAAGACATGTTGACGAAAACGGGAATTGAGCTTTAGAGAGAATCTATAAGTCTTGTAATTGCAGGAAGGTTAAGTACAAGAGCTTAAATACCAGTCAATTGAGCCGGTGGAGACGTGTCCCTGTGATAATCATGGAGCGGAAAAGGACAAAGAATCAGAAAGGTGTGTTTGGAAGAAAGGCAAGCAAAAGCAGCATTCAACTAACCCAACCCGGAGCGGGAGGGATTTCGGGCGGCTGTCATCCGCAGTTGGGAGCTCGGAGCTGCGAGCTGCACAAAATCAGCCACAAAAGCTGGGGTGAAAACTGGATGGGGAACGAGCTTGGAGAGCATCGACCAATGGAAGCTAAGAAACTGGATGCTTCCAGATGCTGGGGGTGGGCTAGTTTCCCCATAGCTTGTGGTGACGACATTGCCGGGGTCGGGGTGGGAGGATGGAAGCACATGGGCACAGACCGATCCCGACTCAAGCCCAAAGCTCTGATCGATTATATAAGCAATCGGCGTCGGGAGCTGGATATACCAAATTTCCGATACCTCCTGTTGACGCTATTGCACGGTGCTCCCCGGCGGCTGCTTCAGTCAGCGGAGGTCATTGCGGGCAGGTGGGGTCCACTCCGCGGGGCAGGAACGTCCCGTAGCAGACAGTGAGGGACCTAACCTTGCCTGATCTCCCACCCAACGGAGCCGGACCATTCTGCCTGAGCTCGCTCGCTAGGAAGACATCACGAACCCCACCTCACAGCACCTTTTGACGAGGGGTTGATCTACTACACATACAAACAACAAATTCCCCCAATCCGCCTACCATATCCTTCTCAAACACTCACCAATATTCTCGCAGGACGGTCCAGTTTATCCTCGTCCTCTGCATGGTTAGAGCCACCGAGCCCCGCTAACACGCCACCTGCTGCGACCTCCTCCTCCTCCTCCTCCTCCTCCTCCTCTCACGTCTCGCTTCCTCCCACCGCAGTCGATAGATACCCCCGTCAACCTACGCCAACGAGATCATCAAGATGTCTTCGTCTAGCGTACCCCAGAACCCGACGCCCCAGACGGTGATCCAGCTCGTCCAGAAGCTGGGAGATGCTGACCCCGACTTCCGCTTCATGTCCCTCAACGACTTGCTTCAGGTTCTGGCCAACGGCAAGCCCGACTTCTTGCACCACGACTACAATGTTGCCGCACGCACCGTCGATAGTATTATCAAGACCCTCGACGACCAAAATGGCGAGGTCCAGAACCTAGCCATCAAATGGTGCGAGCAGGACCCACTCTCAACCCTCCTGACGCCGTTGGAAAGAGCTGACCGTTTGCCGCTGCAGTCTTGGCCCGCTGGTCATGAAGGTCCCCACACCTATTATTGCCCCGATGATCGAGAAGCTCTCCGCCATCAAGCTGAAGAACTCCGTTGACAACGCTGTGCCCTCGTTGGCCCTGCGCGCCGTCATTATGGCCCTGCCGAAACCTACACCTGGCCTGCCGCCTTCGAAAGAGGTCCATGAGTCCTATCAGGCCGTCAGCCGGGTGCTCATCCCGCGACTGCTGGGCCCCGGTGGCAAGGTCCAGCCCCAGAACCCTTCCAGCAACATTCAATTGCCGCCTGTTCCGCAAGGGCTCCTCAAGGTGGACAAAGACCTGAGCGCAGAGTCGGTTGATATTCTCATCGAGGTCGTCAGGTGCTTTGGTACAATGCTGTCCGCCCTTGAGGTTGAGGCGATGCAGGATGCGGTCATTAGCTTGCTGGAGAACGATAAGACATCCTCGGTCGTCAAGAAGAGGGCCGTGGTGGCGATCTCGATTCTCGCTGTACATCTATCGGATGATCTGCTGAACCAGTTGGTCCAGCGGATGGCCAACGACCTTGGCAAGCCCGAACTCTCCACCGTAACGCGCCGCCTATACATCTCCATTACCGGCTCTCTCGCGAGATCGATCCCCGCCCGCTTCGGTACACACATCGCCACGCTGGTGCCCTTCATTCTCCAGGCCCTTAGCGAGGACGAGCTTGAGAAGCACCTGGAGGAGATTAGTGACGGAGATGATGTCGGACAGGACTTCAACGAGGTGCGGGAGTCTGCCCTCGTGGCCCTAGAGTCATTCTTGGCGGCGTGCCCGACAGAGATGCGCCCTTTAACCGACGAAACCATCAAGGCGACCCTCAGATACCTCAAGTATGACCCCAACTACGCCATGGGCGACGACGACGAAGATATGGAGGTCGACGAGGAAGAAGACGAGGAGGATGCGGACGACGAGTTCGAGGACGATGCCGGTTTCGATGATGACGACGACGCGAGCTGGAAGGTCCGTCGTTGTGCCGCCAAGGCTCTGTACACTCTCATCTCTACCCGAGGAAGCGGAGACTTGCTGGAGAATGGTGTCCTATACAGCCAGGCCGGCCCCACGCTGGTTAAGAGATTTGACGAGCGGGAAGAGAACGTACGTCTCGAAGTCATCTCCTGCCTGTCCCTGCTTGTCCGGAAGACTGGCGAGGGCATCTACCCCACCGATCTATCGCTCGACGACCAAGAGCCGGAGGCTCCTAGCTTGATCCCTGTCAGCCGGAAGCGTAGGCGCCAAAGCAGCGGTGGCGGGTCTATGAGCGCTCCCCACACTGCCACTGGTCTGACATCTCCAACCCTTGAGAGAATCCCTTCTAGTGGCCCTCGCGCTGACCTAGCACGCTTTACGCCGACGATTGTCAAGGCTTCCACCAAGCTGCTCAAGGGCAAGGTAATCCCTACGAAGCAGGCCATCATCAACCTCCTGGACGACATCATCACGGTCCAGAGGGGCGGCCTGTCAGACTACTTCAACGATGCTATTGGTCCCATCATCGAGTCAATCAAGCCCACCGGAGCTTCTGCTCTCGCTTCGTCCCTTGCGGCCTCTGGCGGAAATGCGTCGGCCACGCCCAGTACCCTGCGTGTTGCTGCTCTGAAGCTCACCAGCGATATTGCCAAGACTCATTCTTCGAGCCTTCTGCAGCCGTATCTGACTAAGATCGTTGCCGGTGTGACCGCGGCAGCCAACGATCGGTTCTACAAAATCTCAAGTGAAGCCATTGGGACGATTGAGGAACTGGTGAAGGCAATCACACCTCCTCGTTCGAAGATGACGGCACAGAAATTCAAGGGCGAGCTGCAGAAGCTTTTCGACACCATCATGGACAGAATCACCGCAACCGATGCCGACGCCGAGGTCAAGCAGCGTGGCATCCATGCTTTGGGCGTGTTGCTGTCAAGGACTTCTGGTGCCGACGGCGCTGGTTTGATTCAGCAAGACAAGCGTCAAGCAGCCTTGGTTGCTCTGCTCGACCGACTGAAGAATGAGACGACCCGCCTTGCTGCTGTCAGAGCTGTTGACAACGTTGCTGCCTTCAGCACCAGCAGTGGACAGCTCGAGACGTCGTGGATTCGGGAGGTTGCTTTGGAGCTAGCAGGACAGCTGCGCAAGGCCAATCGATCCCTTCGTGGTTCCAGCATCGTCGCTTTAAAGCACCTCGTCGTGTCGCCGACGGCTAGAGGCGAGCTAGACGCAAACACCATCCAAGGTCTCGTCTCGGCGTTGGTACCCGTGGTTAGCAACAACGATACCCACCTGTTGGGGCCAGCCCTGCTCATTCTTGCAGCCCTTGTCGAAGAGAGTGCGGATCTTGTTGTTACACAGTCAATGACTACTACCATCTGCAGCCTCCTCAAGTCTAGCTATGCAAGCATTGTCTTGGACCAGATTCTCATTCTCGTCACGAAAGTGGGTGAAAGCGGTGCCGGCCAGCCCCTCATGCAAGGCCTTCTCAAGGATGTGAGCATCGAAGGCGACCCAGTCGTGGTTGGCAAGGTCATTGGCGCGCTTCTTGTGGCCAGCGGAAGCTCTGCTGGTGTTACGGTCGAGAGCTTCATCTCCGAGCTGCAGACCAGCTCAAACAACAAGGACGACGCACGACTGAGCCTGGCACTGGCAGTGCTCGGTGAGGCCGGTCTTCGTCTTGGGGCCAACTCGCCCTTGAAGCCGGATCTCTTCTTGCAGCAGTTCCATGGCGAGCCCGACAAGGTCTCGATCTCGGCCGCAGTGGCGCTCGGTCGTGCGGGCTCGGGCAACGTTTCGGAGTACCTCCCAGTCATTCTGGAAACCATGCAGAAGGGTGGCAACACGCAGTACTTGCTGATTCAATCGATCAAGGAGATCTTGCAGCAAGTCACCGTTCTGTCCTCGGAGGTTTCCAAGTTTGCCGGCGACATCTGGCAGCATCTTCTCTCCGCTTCAACCATCCCCGACAACCGTGTTGTTTGCGCAGAGTGTGTGGGCCGGCTGACCATCATCGACTCCCAGACGTATATGCCCCAGTTGCAGGTATGTTGACACTGTTCGCGACGACAACGAATGTGTGCTAACCTTTGGCAGTCACTTTTGAGAGACCAAAACCCGGATATTCGCGGCATGTCGGTGCAGGCCGTTCGTTACACGCTGCCTGACAGTGATGAAGCCTTCGACGCTATGCTCAAGAATGTCCTTGTTGACATGCTCCTCGTCATGCTCCAAGACTCGGAGATGGACAACCGCCGCCTGGCCATGTCAACATTGAACTCGGCGGCCCACAACAAGCCCGACCTGATTCTGCCTCACCTCGGCGAGCTGATGCCTTTTGTGCTGGCCGAGTCGGTCATCAAGCCGCAGCTGATTCGCGAAGTCATGATGGGCCCCTTCAAACATATGGTGGATGACGGCCTTGAAGTCCGCAAGGTATGTTTCATCGTAACACACGGCTTGAGACTATGCTGACCATGACTAGAGCGCATACGAGACTTTGTACGCTCTTATGGAAACGGCTTTCTCAAGGATCAACAACATCGACTTTTACGACCGTGTGGTCGCTGGTCTGAAGGACGACAATGATATTCGCAGTCTCTGCAACCTGATGGTGTCTAAGCTTATCGTCCTCGATCCTGATGAGACGAGCCGTCGCCTGGACTCTATCGCCGAAGCGTACCGCGCCATTCTCTCAACGAAGCTGAAGGATGGTGCCGTCAAGCAGGATGTGGAGAAGCAGGAGGAGGCCAACAAGAGCGTCCTCAGAGTGACGCTCCTCCTTGGCGACAGGCTCAAGGGTGCCAAGGGTGGTCCTGGCAAGGCGGCAGCAAACGCTAACGCGGGCGGTGCCAGCCAGACTTGGAACGCCTATTGGGAATGGGTTAATAAGGAGTTCCAGACGCAGCTTAGAAATTTGCGTGAGGAGAGCAAGGAGAATCGCGTATTGTAAAGGGAGGAAAAGTTTGAGGTCGGTCTGGGACCCATCAGGCGTCAATTATAGCGATATGAGTAGCAGAAAAGAACCAGATTCCTGCATTTCCCTGGTGTTTTCTACACCTGCGCGACTTTGCCCCTGACTCGAAAGGTAGACTAGCTGGCTTTCTATATGACTGTCTGCGACATAAGAATACATGCTTGAGGTTTGTTACAGGCACACACTTATTCTGAGGAGAGATTTCGCTTGATAACTATCTACTCTAATTACCTACAAGCGCATGCCCACCTCACAGGCCCCGATCACTGCACCAAGATTACATTAGGGTTTTCTTTCATCGATAGGATAGGGGTATCGTGTGCTGCTCTACAAATGACAAATCCGGCCACTTACCTTTTCCAAGCTCTGTTGAATCTGTTCGTACTCGCTTTTCTAATCTTTCTTCGTCGCTCCGGGCTCCGACCCAACAATTGTCACCTCATCCTCCTGGCGAGAGACTGCGTTGCTGTCCAGCCCGCTTTCCGCCTTGGCTGGAGCGACGCCGCCATCCACGCTTCGTTCCCGTACCTTCTCGTCTTCCAGCTCCTTCTCACTCTCCTCATCAACTTCCTTCTCCTTCCGCGCCTCCCCGGCAACCGCGGCCGCACCGATCCCGGAAGTCCCGCCCACCGCGGCCCCAGCCTGGGCCGCTTCGACGTCTTCGGTGGCCTTCATCGTCGACTGCTGCCCCTTCTTGACGCTCTTCCACTCCATGCCGGCCGCGCCGATCAGCGCAGAACAGGCCAACACCAGGCCGACTATGAACACGACCCTCAGCGCGCCGTTGTAAGCCTCCAGCACGGGTCCCCTCACGTCGGCTGGCAGCTTTGTCAGAGTCGTGGCCCCGGACCCCTTGAGGTCGACCCCTTCGAGCCCTGGGAGGCCTCTCATGCGCTTCACGAGCTCGTTGTTGAGCACGTTCTGCCCGACCGAGATGAAGACGGCGCCGCCCAGCGTCTGCGCGAAGAACATGGCGCTCGCGCCGATGGGCACGTCCTTTCTATCCAAGACCGTCTGGGCGGCGAGGTTGGGCGCCTGGAAGCACATGCCCATGCCGACGCCGTAGATGACCTGGTACCCGATCCACTTGCCCGGGCCGGAGTGGACCCCGAGGGTGGTGAGGAGGCCGGCGCCGACGGACATGACACTGACGCCCACGAGCATGACGGGGGTGTAGTACCCGATGCGGGTAATGATGCCGCCAGAGACGCCGGCGAATACGGTCATGGAGAGGACGAGCGGGAGGGTGCGGATGCCCGAGTCGACGGCGGAGACGCCCTGGATGGCCTGGAAGTAGATGGGGATGTAGTAGGTGAAGACCATCATCTGCGCGCCGATGGAGAAGGCGGCCCAGGCGGCGAAGGCGATGGAGCGGTTGCGCAAGATGCGGGGCGGGATGGTGGCGGTCCCGGGGAGGAGGATCTGGATCGCGACGAAGGAGGCGAGGAGGACGAAGGCGAGGACGAGGAGGGCGATAATGCGCGGGTTGTTCCACTGGACGGTAGTGTTAGTCATTTGTTCTTAGGGAAAATGCGCAAGAAAGGATCCCAGAAGGATCCTGGGTGGGAAAAAAAGGGGGGCGGGGGCGGTTTGGATGAGACTCACTGCATACTCGACACCTCCCCATTGCAACGCGAGAAGTAGACACACAACACCGGGGATGAAGACGGCCGTGCCCGCAAAGTCCAGCTGCCTCAGCTTGGACCACAGCGAGGTGTCCTTAAGATCCTGGTCCGGCGGGCTCATGATAAGGGCGATGACGACCAGGGCGATGCCGCCCAGGGGCAGGTTGATGTAGAAGCACCACCGCCACGTGACCTTGGTGGTAAAGGCGCCGCCGAGGAGGGGGCCGACGACTGAGGCGAGGCCGAAGACGGCGCCGAAGGCGCCTTGGTACTTGGGGCGGCGGTGGAGCGGAACCGAGTGGACCATGACGACGATGGTGCCGGCGACGATGCCGGCGCCGCCGACGCCGGCGAGGGCGCGGCCGACGATGAAGGCGGCGCTGGAGGGGGCGGCGCCGCAGACGGCGGAGCCGACCTCGAAGAGGATGACGGACGAGAGGAAGACGTTCTTGATGGGGAAGAAGGCGTAGAGCTTGCCAAAGAGGAGCTGGAAGGCGCAGGTGGTGAGGAGGTAGGCGGAGCCGTACCAGCCTATGTCGACGACGGAGTGAAAGTCGTCGGTGATTTGGGGCACGGCGGTGGCGATGATGAGGCGGTCCTGCGGTGGTGTTAGTCTGGTGGACATTGGAGGAAGAAGAGGGGGCCTGCTTACCAGGGCGACGAGGAACATGGTTATGAAGACGGAGATCATGATGAGGAAGAGCTTGAGGCCGGCAGGGTACTGGATCTCGGAGCGGGATGTCGCGGTCGGAGTGAGGACATTCTGAGATTGCTGATTTTGCTGCTGCTGGTGTTGCTGGTCCTCATCATCGTGGATCTTGCTCGTCCGCGAAGAGGCGGGCTGATCGGCCGCCGTGGTCGTCGTCGTCGGGACGGCGGCGCCCTTGTCGTGTTTCTTGAAGAGCATCGTCGTCGTAAACGCCCGAGGGATCGGTACCAAAACAGGGTATGCCAATTTCGCCCTTTATGATGTCTCCTTTTGGTCTTTCGTGATACTGTTCATATGACTGATACTAGCGACAGGTCTCACACCCAGGATGAGTCCGGTATGGAGGGGGGGGGGGGGGGGCAGCTCAGTTCGAAATTTGACCTTTTTGTTATGAAATGAGAAAATAAGAAGGTGTAATGGCGAGGAGAAGCAAACAGGCAAACGGGATGCCAAGGAGGATGTCGCGTCTATATGTTATGTCTCCCATCTTGATCGCTTCAGTCCTATTCCCCCCTTGGAAGTAATGCGCGCGCCTAGTCGAAACGAGAAAAACGAACACTAGGCCCCCCTGCTCCTTTCCCAGACATCCTAGTACGCCATTCGGCGGCGCAACCAAAGTCAACGACGTAGATGTTCCGCCTGTTCTTTTTTTTTCCGGCCAAGGGTTCCGTTCCCACGCTAGAAAGAGCCTCCAATCTTGGCTCCCGCCCTCCCTGCATGTTCCGGGCTGGACCAATCATAATAGCGCACGCGACGGGTCCAGCACCTCTATTCCGTATCTCTCCTAGGACGGCTGTGGCTAACTCGCTTACAGGGCCTGTTCCATGCTCTGCGAAAGACGAGATGGCATGGTCGGGTAAGCGGCGCGACTTCCCCCCGTCCACCGATTCATTCGCGTGTCTGGCCCCATTCCCGCCTGTTCATTGCCTGTCTATTGCCTGTCTGATGAGAAGCCACGACGGCGACGGCGACGGCGGGGTTTGTTCCATGCCCGTGACCGCTGAAAAGAGGAAGAGGCGCTCCCTATCAAATGACAAAGAAAAAGAAAAAAAAAATAGATGCAAACAGCCGTCAGTCAGACGAGGCCATGCGGGCAGAAAAGAAAATACGAAAAAAAAAAGGTATGCACACATGGCCTATGCATGCCAGCGATTGTCGGGGTGGCTACCTGCCCACCTAGCCTTAACTGGCGTATTCGGTCCCGAGCCTTACCCGGCGAATTCGGTCCCGAGCCTCTACTATATAAGGGAAGCGGCCGGACAACGGGTAACTCTAACACCGAACTCCGAGGCTTGTTTACACGTCGGGGATATGCAAAGCTCCACTCCGTCGACTATCCCCCCCTCCTTTTCTTCCAAGGCACGTGGCTCCCCCCCCTTCGAACACAACGAATCGCGAGCCGGCGTCTCGGAGCCGTTGAAGCCATGACATCCCCCCTCCCCCTCCCTTCTCGCGCGATGAGATCTCACGTTTGCATAGTCTGACATGGAAGCCCTTGTTCGTTGCCTTCAGCCGACTTCCCAAAACGGCCGCACAGAGACGTGTCGACGGGGATTGGGGCCAGACGCTGCGTCTTCAACGTGATTCGAAAGGTAAGACGGGATAAACGTCGAGAGTCCATGACGCACCCCCGCGAAGGAATATGCACGTCTCGTAACTTCACAGGTTGTTGGTTGGTGGGAGGCGCGCGTTCAGGCGCTGGCGGCGCTCGTCGCATCGCGAAATGCCGCCGAAAACCGCCGATAGGACCTGGCACCATTTCACCTTTCCCATTTCATTTCGTCACAAGGCCAATGACCCAAATACATCACGTAGAGCAGGAACACTTTACCGGTCTTCATAGTGCAGTCCGCAAGGGGCCTCTATAGACAGGTACCTGTCTTGTTTACCATTCGGTAGTTTCGTCATCTCATGGCACTATCGTTACAGATGGGGGAGAATTGTCACTTTGACGCCCAAACACCGGAGAAAGACGACCCAAAGCCAAAGGGTTTCCTGATACAGCCCACCTTCTCTTTTTCTCTCTCTTTCTCTCCGAATAACGAGACATGTCCAACCAATCAGCACCCACATGCCCCTTTCTTTTCCAGTGTCCCAAGCATCATGATGCCAACCCATGCAATTGATCACCAGCCTCTATTCGCCGGAGGCACACCAAAGTTTCCAAACTGCTCAAACATGTTTGCAGTGGACTGCTGATTCATGTTGCCGTTGGGGACCCCCAAGTCCGCCCACATGTCCAAGTCGTAGAAGTTTGTAGTGTCAAGAAAGTTGCCCAGGTACTGATCCATGGGTTGATCTTGCCTTTGCGGTATGTCCGCCTTCACCGTCTGCGCCGGGGAGGGTCCACACGACGACGCCTCCGAGCTCGACTGAGGAACGATCTCCTGCAGTCGCGGGATGGCGACGGGGGTTTCGTAGGGCAGACCAATCTGGATCAGTGCCCGCTCTCGTGCCCTCCAGGCTTTCAGCATGTAGACACCCAACTGCGTGTTCTCCTTCTTCGACATGTCCCACAGTTCCTCGTGGTACTGGTATATCCTGTCGACAACTCTCCAAGCGCGTTCCGCTAGTTTGCCGGTCGGTCTCTGAAACAGCTGCCCGGCCATGACGATGAAGACATCGATCTGGAAGTGCAGCTTGAAGAACCATACGAAGCCCGTGTTCTCCATGAAGCTGTATAGCTCGACATTGTGTTCGTGGTGCACCAGAGATATCCGAAACATGTTGTCCTGCACGTTGAAAACCTCGGTGCCCCATTCCGGCAGTTCGCGCATCGGTATCATCATTGTCCGCAGCTTATCGATGATCATGGAACGGATCTTAGTCGCAACGATATGAATGTTGCCGGCCAAGGGGTCGCAATACTGCTTTTCCAGGGCAATGAGTTTCGCGTCGAGATTATCGACCAGAGTCCGGTACTTTGCTAAAGACGCCTGCAATGCCAGTTGGGAGTCCTGGGTGTCGTTTTCCATGGCGCCAAGGACAACGGCCTCGAAGTCGGGGATTCGGTTCTCGACGATGAAGCGGCCCACTTCGTACAAGAGCAGGCAGAATACCATTTCCGTCGGTCCTTCTCGGGGCTGGACGGGTTCGGTCGACCCGGGGAACAAGTCGGCGTCGTTTACGTTTTGCGGCGTCTGCGTATCCCAGTTCCAAGGCAGCAACGTGTCGGAGAAACCCGACACCAAGGCGTACTTGGTGTCCAGCATGATGATCTGCCACCAAAGCCTCCGTCGCATTTCCGTCTCGTACGGTGTTAGGTTGAGAAGCTCGCCGTCCCTGTGGAGACCCATCTTTTGGGCGATTCTGATCAGGATACCACTGAGGACCCAGGCTGCATGGCGGCTGTAGCGGCCCTGAAGAGAAATCTGGTGACAATTAGCAAGTGCGGCCTTTCGAATCCGATGCGGTCATGCAGACGAACCAGATACAATAACAAGGCTTGCAGCGTCATCAGGTCATGGTTCTTGAGAAAGTTGACCTTTGTCAGTGCCGCCTTGACGCCCGCAGTAAACTTCTTGAGCGCCTCCTCTCTGGAAATATCGAGCATCTGCCTCGCTTCTGACTCGGTCATGGTGAGAGATGCCACGAGGTAAATGGCAAAGAGCAAAGCTTGACAATTGTTGGCGACATTGGAGTGATTCGCAGCCGCCTCGACAACTAGTGGCTGTAGACTAGGCACGTGTATGAGTTTGGTGATGGGGTTTACCCTTTCCAAGAAGACCTGCCAGAGTCTGAATATCTGAACAGGGGAGGGCGTGACATCCTCCAGGTCAATCGTAGCAACATCGTTCAGGAGAAGGTCGACGTTGTCGTCAGGGGTAACGGCGTCGGACCCGAGGACGCTCTGTTCTTCTTCCTCAGCCTCGATGATTTGTCGCATAGCCGACAACTAGAAGCAGGTTAAAAACGGACTGGCGCAGGTTATGAGGCCACGGACGGGGATTACGCACCTGATCATGGACGGTTGCCCAGAGGTAGCTGTCCATGAACCTGACGCTGCCATCCTCGACCACCACTTTGCCAGCCGGCTTCCACGACGTCGTCGATGGGGAGGTATCCTCAGACACTGAAGCGGAGCCCGAGGGTAGAGGCAGCTGAGGTATGCTTGGCGAGGGACCAGTCGACGAGGGCGTGTTGAAGATTGTGGGTGAGTGGGCGGTGGGCGGTGTTGCGGAGGCGGTAGCATATTGCTTTAGCAGAGCCTCACATCTTGCCAACCTTTCTTGCAAGTCCTGGTTCGGCCTCCTCCTCTTACGCGCGGGAGCTGGTGTGGAGGGAGTGCATGTGACGTTTGCCTAAAAAAAAAGGTCAGCGCGCATCGGGTGGCGGCACAGTGAGAGGCGGCGCACCTTGATGCAGTTGGAGCATGGGGTATTCCGGTCGCATTTGATCTTACGATGCTGGCAGAGGACACAAGCCAGAACCCTCTGGCTCTTGTTGTGGTTCGGGTTGGTACTCATTGGCAGGAACGAGGCTGAATAGCCGAATGGGGATGCAGTAGCTGCCACAGCAGGAGTTGGAACTCGGACGAGGTCGTCCGTAAAACGGGGTTAACACAACCCAGGTTTTCGGAACGTGTGGGCACGCGGCCCTTATGGATGATTCCCTGACGGGAGCTGTCGGCGAGGTCGTGGCAGGGGTTCCGTTCCAGGTAATAAATGCTAACGGATCTGGACGCGAATGACGGGAGGGGCCCCTTTGGTGAGGTCTGCCGCAGTGGAAAGCTATAGAAAAAAAGGATCAAAAAATAAGAATAAAAAATTTCCCGACTTGGCCAGAAGTGAGATGCCGGGTTGCCTTGGGCGTCGGACGCTGTTGATGACCAAGCAAGGATAGGCGCGAGAGAGAGAGAGAGAGAGATACTTTAAGAAACGTTATGACGACGGATGAAGCGGGAAGGGAAAGGAAGCGAATGGGGGAGGGGGGAGGGGGGGGGTTGACTATGAGTCTTTGCGGACACTGCAGGCAAGGGTTGATCGCAGGTTGGGCCGGGAAGCGCGGGCGGGAGACCAGGCGCAGAGTCAAGGTTCTTCTGGGCTGGCGGGGTTGGATAAGTCGTCTAGATTGTGCTGGGGTGAGATGGATCAGGGCGCCTTGTTGGATATGGATGATGGTTCCTCGAGCCCATAGATTGGCTTACCCGGTAGTAAGCACAGATACCAGTCGGGTGTGAATGGGAGTGCGGAAATGGGCGTGGAGTTGGAGAATCGGCGGCGGAAATTCGAGGGTAGGATGACAGGCCAATGGCTGTTAAGGTGTGTGAATGTGAGTGTGTGTGAGTGTGTGTGTGTGTGTGTGTGTGTGTGTGTGTGTGTGCGCTAGAGAGAGGGAGGGGGAGAGGGAGCATGCCCGGTTGGTGGCGGTGGGTGATGTTGACAGCAGAGCGAAGGCGGTCGGCGCTAACACACAGGTGGCTCGGTCTGGCTTGTTCGGGGTTCCAGCAAAGCCGATGCAGCGCAGGGCAATCTACCTAGCCAAGATGTCGTATGCGTCTCACTACTAAGTAGTTGATGAGGGGAGTCTCTCGCCCGTTTGGCTGCTTCGTTTACTGGTTCTTGGAACCGGATCACCTGTAAGATGCCCCCCTACTGCTGACGATTTCGCGTCTGTTCCGTTGAGATGTTGACCAAGTAACTCGAAGAAGCGCGGCTCCCCTGCAATTCTCATAAGGACAGCATTGCTGTTGCAGGTACGAACAATTGGAGAAAAATAGGTAAGGGGCAGGGCAGGTTAAGGAAAAGAGGCAAGAGGGGGAGGAGGGGCTGAGGTTGAGGCCGTCGGAAGGAACGGACGAAAAGACCGAGTAATGACGCCAAACAGGTAAGACAACCTATCTAGGTAGGTAGGCAGGCAGGGCTGTGTAGCATGCAAGGAGCCCAGGCGGACTTTGTGCATATGCTGCAGTCCGTCTCCCTTTCACCCCTAGCACTAATAGCCAGCAAGTCCACAACGGGCGGCTGGCGGGAGGTAACAGAACTTTGAGACACCACTCAGCAGCAGATGGTGGTTTCTAGAAACACAGATGTTGTGCAGCATAGCAACGAGCGGATGCCCTGACGGGGAAGGGATCGAGGGTCGACGAGGGGTGTAGCGTAGACCAACTTCAGACTTCATTGTCATCAACTGCGAGGGCTCCTCGGTCGGTCCATCAGCCAGGTGCGATGCGATGCCCACTCGGGACGCCGACGCTGGCCGAGAGGAGAAAGTTGGATGAATGGAAGCCAGTCATCGCCTATAAACGCACGCTGCTGTCGAATGAATGTGACGCGCCACGAGGCCGGGATAAGGAGCTCGGGAACAAATGGAGGAAACGTGACAGAGATGGGCCATGTCAGCTGAGCCTTCCTAACAGACAGACCCCGGGTCAAAGAGAGGGCGATGACGGCTTGGTTTGCGGAGACGAGACGACGGACGAGGGCTGGATGGCGGGGAAAAAACCAAAAGCACGAAAGAGAGAGAGGCCAAAGATCCATCAGTGGCATGTGTCATCATGAGCCAGATCCCATCATCTTACCACACCTCCTCCTCATCTTACCTCCTTTCACATACCTCCTCAAGCTGCCTCGTCGAGACCGACTGCCCAGGACAACGGATAGCGCATCATGACTGTCAGCCGAGTAGTGCATGCATGCTGTCTTGGTCTATATGAACAGTGAAGCAAGATTCGGTTGCGCTTGCTTGCGTGGCCTCAGTCGTGAAGCACCAACATCCTCCCCCACCTAGGTAGGTACCGGGAGCTGTGTCAAGGTCATACATGCGTCTTTGCGCCGCGCTGTTACGCTAGCAAATGACCCAGACACCCAGAAGAGTTACGGCAGCTGCAGATCGAGCACAGCCTACCCAGCCATCTGTCGTTCCATTGCATGTTGCTTTGCATGCGGCCTATGTATTTATGCAACGCCAACTCCCGATCCGAACAAACATGTACAGAGTGGCAGGACTAGTAATGAGGGGGAGATTCACCAACAGCTAAGCTGGTAGAAGTACTATAGGAGGGGCTGATACCATCGTGCAATTTATGCAACCTAGGTAGTAAACTATGGTTACCGGTATTTTCACGGCCCCCTTCTGGTATTTTCACGGCCCTGTGGCTAATCCATTATGTCAGCCTCTGCGAAAAATCGCGCACAACAACATTGCGACTTACCTAGCTAATTAGACTATTAGATTTATAATAGCCCTATAATAGTTACGTAAAATTAAAAAGACCTTAGATTTAAGCGATTTAAGGCAAATTAGAGATATTACTAGTAACTAATTAATTAATTAACACTTTCTAACATTACGTGACTATTTACGGCCTGAATTACTCTAGCTACCTATACTGCCTATACTGCCTATACTGCCTATACTGCCTAGCGAAAGGTGGCTGTAACTACTGTAACTGTAGCTGCAGTAGTGCTAATTAGTAACAAATTTGCTGCTGTTACTAGGCAAAAAGGGCTGCCTCCTGCTGCTGCTGTTAATAAAAAATAGCAGCCTTATAGGCCTGCTGTTATTACTTAGCCTATAACTGCTGTTACTCCTATAGAGCCTAGTTATTATAAAGTATCTATACTAAGGTTGCTAGGCCTTTAATAGTGCTATAAAGACTATTAATAATAAGGAGCTAGTGTTATTATGCCTAAGTAGTACTATAGCTACTGCTACTACTACGTCCACTATGGCTGCTGCGTACGCTATAGCTGCTAGTAAGACTAGGCATAAGGCTTAATAAAGGAGTAGTAGTTACTTATAAGCTAGCCTTATAGGCCTTATATCTTTCCTATATAGAGGGCTTACGTTACGTATTAGTAAGGGAAGGAGATAGAGCCTTATTATTAGAGGGGTTAATAGGTATATAGTAACGCGCCTGTTAGTAGCGTATAATATTTAGGTTAGATTTAATAGTTAATAGTTAAAGGTAAACTAAATTTAGCTAGGCTTATTAGTAAAAAATAGTTTACTAATAAATATATATATATATTACTATAGTTAAGTTACTAGTAAGGGTTAAGATCCTCCTTCTAAAGAATCTAGCTATAGTTAGCACTTTATAACTATAGTAAAAGGTTATAGTAGTAAGGTATCCCCTACTACTAAAAAAAGGCACTAGTACAGCTAGGCAGGCTCTACTATTTCTAAAAGGCCTTATTAGTAGCTACGTATTACTTATAAAGTAACCTTAGGGTATAAAAAGAAACCTTATATATTAATAGTTATAATAACTAAATTTAGCTAGTAGGTATATAGTAGCGACGTTTAGCTCTATATTAGGTATTATAGTAAGCTATTTTCTTATTAACTATTTTATGTATTTTCTTATAAAAGGTGTAAAGGTTAGTAAGGCAGTAAGTAAGGTATAACTTTAACTTATAATATAAACCCTTAGTAGGTAACATAGTCCTAACGCTATAGTTATAGAGGTTATAAATCTTAAAGTTAGTAAATTTATAAAGCAGTAGGATATATATTATCTATAGATACTAAATTATTACTAGAGAAGTTAGCTAAAATTTAGGATTTATAGATATAATATACCTAGCTAATTAGTAAATTACTGCTTAAGGGATTTCTATGCCTTCCTATAGATATTAATAAAAGACGTATAAACATAGGCCTACTACGTGTTAACTAGCTTATCTAGATTATATAAAAACACCTTCTTGTTAGAGGTCTAAATATCCTCTTGTAGTTATTATTATTATTATTATTATTAATAGGTAGGATTAGTAGTAAGGGCAAGGGCTATAGCCGCAGCCTTGTTAGCCTTAGGGGCTTATAGGCCTTCTTACTTCTTCTTTATATTTAAACTTACGTTTTTTAGTATATACTATATGTAGAGCTGTTAATAGGTATTTAGGAATACCTCCTAGGCAGCGCGCTTTAATCTAGCGTTAAAATTAGTAATTATTACGCCTAGATTAGGAATATTACTATCTTATAGTAATTTATAGAGTTAGAGTAGCACTTAGGAGTAAAATTTAGTTATTTTAGTAGATATAAGGTAAAATCTTATGTTAAAAGTAGTATTAATAGCAGTAAGGCTAACTATTTAAAAAAGTAGTATTTAGAAGTAGTTAACCTGCTAAGGGCGCGTTAGAAAATAACTAGAATAGTTAATGTTTTTTTATATACCTTATATATATTATTTATTATTAATAGCTTTAGATATATCCTTAGTATATCTAGGTAGGGCTAATAAGTCTAAAAAATCCTATTAACTTTACTATTACTGCTATAGTGAATTTTATAAAAGGCTACGTTACTACGTTACTCTAGTTATTAAAGGAAGAGTTACGTAGAGGATAATAGGCTAAATTTACTCTTATAAATATTATATTAGAGGTTATATACGTATTAGCTATTAATAATAACCTTCTCTATACGTACTATTTAGCTAGTAATTTGCTATATAGTTATATTATTATTAGTAGATAGCTCCTTAATACGTTAGGTAATTATCTTTTAGTTAAGGCCTTTGTTAGCTATATTAAAAGCAGCCTTATCCTAACTTAACTGCTAGAAAGCAGTAACTCTACTAATATCCTTTTGTATAGTAGAAAGGTAGTTATATATATCTTTACTGTTAAGGACCTCTTATATCTACTTATCTTTATTAACGCGTTAAATCTTGCTAGTAAAGAGGCAGTTACTTTGTTTTAACGTAACGTTTTGTTACGTAGTAGTTAATAGGCGATTACTAGCTTAGTTACACTTAATATTAATTTGCCTGCTGTTTTTTAAATACCTTTCTTTTTATAGGGAAATACCCTTGTTGCGATAGTAAATTTGTACGTAAAGCCAGCACTCCTTAAAGGTTAAGGCCTTAATTTCGGGCATTGTAGGCGTCCAGCGGCGATAGTGGATTTACAGCAAAAAGCCTATTTTTTGCATGGGTTATGGACAGATATGGTGGTGGGCCGTGGCGGTGGTGGCGGGTGGGCCGTGAAAATACCAGAAGGGGGCCGTGAAAATACCGGTAACCGTAAACTATATCGTAGATTTTTTTGGGCCGCCGAGCTGCGGATGCTTCTCGACATGCGGCGGAGTTTTCTTATCCACTCGGTCTACGGTACCTATGGCTTTTTATATCCGCCATCCGGCTTGCTGCTGGGCCAGAACAACGTCGTATTCCGTATTCGTTCCCGGTGGTGGGTCGGGAAAGCAGCCTACATACCTACTTTGTACAGAAGCTGGTAGCAGGGGCGCACTGACATACATCCGTACTTCGTAGATGATCGTAAGTGGGTGCTGCCTCGAGTGACCTTAGCGATTAGATAACCCCGATAAGACATTGAGCTGGGGATGATTGCACTGACCAATGGCAAAGCTTCCGAAGCTGATTTCACCAACAGCCCGGTTGTTATTGCGGGAGTCCCACACCGGAAGCAATCGGCCCCCGCATTAAGACTCCAAAAGTTTGGGCCTGTGACACACGCCGACATCGCGACACGCCACCCGAAAAAAAAAAAAAAAAACAATTCACCTGCCACACCTTTCAACCAACGCGCGTTCGACCAGTACCCAATTCTGAGACGGCCAGACGGGGGGCCTCTAATTTGAAAGGCAATTGATACAATTGGCCTTTGTCCTGGCTAGACAAAGTCACGATGCTTCCTATCGTAAGTCTGCGGAAGCGTCTCCTCCCGCGCCGGCCCCAGTCATTCCAAGTCGCTATTGCTAACCATTCACCCCTGCAGAGACGAAGCGTGGCTCTTCAAGCTACGAGGAGCTGCCGCACTATCTTCCAGCGACAAATTGTCTCCCCACGAACGTTTCGTCCCAGCTTCTATACGACCTCGGCCCGCCTCCGTCAGAATGCGTTCCCTTCCCATACCGAGACCGGCCCTACCGCCACCGACTTCCTCGTCTCCAAGCCCACCTTGAAGATTGAGAACCCGCAGACCTTGACCGAGAAGATTGTTCAGCGATACGCAGTCGGCCTCGCCCCCGGCAAGAAAGTACGCGCTGGCGATTATGTAACCATCAAACCTGGTGCCTGCATGACCCACGACAACTCGTTCCCCGTCGCCAAAAAGTTCATGGGACTCGGCGCTGAGAAAATACGAGACCCCAGTATGGTCGTCTTCACATTGGATCATGATGTGCAGAATAAATCACCACAAAACTTGGAGAAGTATCGTTTAATCGAGGAGTTTGCCAAGAAGCACGGCATCGATTTCTATGGTGCTGGCAGAGGAATTGGTCATCAGGTAATGGTGGAGGAAGGCTATGCCTGGCCGGGTACCATGGCAGTCGGATCGGACAGTCACAGCAACATTTATGGTGGAATAGGGTGTCTCGGGACGCCCGTTGTCAGGACTGATGCTGCGTCGATATGGGCAACTGGCCGTACCTGGTGGCAGGTTCCTCCCATCGCCAAGATCACGTAAGTCGTCTTCTGTCCGTAGTAGGCCTAGGCGTGCTTACGTTTTGCAAGATTCACCGGAACCCTGCCTCATGGAGTCACTGGCAAGGACGTCATCGTTGCTCTGTGCGGACTGTTCAACAAGGATGAGGTTTTGAACCACGCCATAGAATTCGCCGGCTCTGAAGAGACCATGCGAAGCCTTCCCGTCGACGCGAGGCTGACGATATCAAACATGTCTACCGAGCACGGAGCGTTGTCCGCCATGTTTGTGAGTATACCGTCTCCTGAGGGAAGTCCTGTGCTGGCTGACTTACTGTTCCACTAGCCAATTGATGCGACCCTAGAAGCCTGGTTGAGGGCTAGGGCAACAGTCTCAGCTATGGTGAGCCCAGATGGTAAGGCTCACAGCCGTCTGAGCCACGAACGCATCGACAGCCTCTTCGAGAACCCCGTCACCGCTGACCCCGGCGCGACATACGCCAAGTCGCTGTACATGGACCTCTCTACCTTGTCGCCATTCGTCGCTGGCCCCAACTCCGTCAAGGCTGTGACGCCTCTCAAGGACCTCGAAGCCCAGGATGTCAAGATCGACAAAGCCTACCTCGTTTCGTGCACGAACTCCCGCGCCTCGGACATTGCAGCCGCAGCGCGTGTTTTCCGCGAGGCCTCCAAGAACGGCCAACCCGCCAAGATTGCCCCTGGTGTCAAGTTTTACTTGGCTGCTGCGTCTTCTCTCGTACAAGAGGCTGCCGAAGAAGCAGGCGACTGGCAGGTGCTCCACGAAGCAGGCGCGGAGCTTCTCCCGGCAGGGTGCGGGCCTTGTATCGGACTGGTAACGTTGACCGCCTTATTCTTGTACATCAATCTTATACATTTCACTAATTCCATCAACAGGGTACTGGTCTTTTGGAGCCCGGCGAAGTTGGCATTTCGGCGAGCAACAGGAACTTCAAGGGCCGCATGGGCTCTACCGAAGCCAAGGCATATCTCGCTAGCCCCGAGGTTGTCGCTGCTAGCGCCCTGCAAGGCAAGATTGCCGGCCCTGGCTGGTACGAGAAGCCGGAGGGGGTTGACAAGGTAATCATTGGCGAGGGCGTCGGCAACATGACTGCCGACATTGCAACGTCAATTGAGGATGCTCTCGAGAAGCTCATATCCCAGGCTGACAGCATCATCGCCGAGTCGGAGAAGGGACTCTCCGGCGCCCCTGCCGGAGATACCGCTGCGGCTGAAGGCGAAGAGACGTTGACCGAGATTCTGCCCGGATTCCCCGAGAAGGTGGAGGGCGAGATTGTTTTCTGCGATGCTGATAACCTCAACACTGACGGAATTTACCCTGGTACGTTTCACATCCCATGTATCCATCCCGTGAAGCGCCCACTAACAAAGCAAACCAACAGGTAAGTACACGTACCAGGACAACGTCTCGGTGGAGAAGATGGCCGAGGTGTGTATGGAAAACTACGACACCTCCTTCCGCGACATCGCCAAGGCCGGCGACATCCTCGTGTCCGGCTTCAACTTCGGCACGGGCAGCTCCCGCGAGCAGGCGGCGACGGCGATCCTGGCCAAGAAGATCCCGCTCGTGGTGGCGGGCAGTTTCGGCAACATCTTCAGCCGCAACAGCATCAACAATGCGCTCATGGGCGTCGAGGTGCCCAAGCTCGTGCAGCGGCTGCGCGAGACATTCAAGGGCGAGGACGGCGACAAGGTGCTGACACGCCGCACCGGCTGGAAGCTGAAGTGGGACGTGCGCAGGAGCAAGGTCACGGTCACGGAGAAGAGCGGCGAGACCTGGAGCGTCAAGGTCGGCGAGCTGCCTCCCAACGTGCAGGAGATCATTGCCTGCGGCGGTCTGGAGGAATGGGTGAAGGCCGATATCCGGAAAGAGAGCGCCAACAACTAGAGATGGCAGAGAGATGAGAGCGGGGATGAGAAAAAAAAGGGGGTGGGGGGATTTGGACGATGGATGGAAGCAGGGGATGGACTAAACGAACAGTACTGTGTCTTAAGTATGTACTGATACATATGGGAAACTTGGATAGGGGTTTTGTGTAAGTATGGGCTCTAAAAGACCCCTTGATGCAACTGAGAAGTTGACTGTTATATTCGGGATCTGGCCTCGTTGTGCTACCATCTGATGTCGTTGGTTCGCCATCGTGGCGGGGGCGGTCTATAGGAGTTTCGCATTCACAGCATTTTTAACCCACCCAGAGGGGGGGGACACCGAATAACTGCAACCTATAGCAGGCTTGGGCTCCATGTAGCCTTCCTCAAATGTCAATAGCTCTTCAGATGGGTTAAAAACGCGGCGAAATTTTCGTATCCTAGAGGCCCCCAAGGTAGATTGAAAGTGGCGCATAGGGCTGAACGGACGAGCCGATAAATCGTGGGCTCGGCTTTCCGCGCGGGTCCAGATCTTCACTCCACAATGCGACGCAGAGTTACATTAGAGGGGTCTGTGAGGATGTTGACCCTGTTCTGTCAAACCAAGACGAAGCTACTTCATATGGGGGGGGGGGCTTCCAAAGACAAAAAGTCAGGCAGGAGCGCGGGATCCATGACGAGGCGTCAAGAGGCGTGGTCGAGACAGGGAAAGGAGGTCGAAGTGGCAAGCCCTCGATAAACGAAACCGAGGGGATGCGGAGGGAGCAGAGCTGCCGAACGCAAAAGAGAGCCAGTGCGTAAATAGCGTTGGCTTCAACATACGTGGTCCGTCCTGAGGTGAGGGAGGAATCCTGGTTAGGGTGATGGACTGACCACATCGGGTGAGGAGGAAGGAGGGGGGGAGGCTATGGGATGTGTGACTGCAGACCCCCAAGACGAGCCAAGACACATACGCTTTTGCAAAAGGTACGGACACGTCAGATGAACGGCGAGGGATACCGAGATCAGCAGAATTTCTTCGTCTTTCTATTCTTCTGTTCCTTTTGTTATGTCTCGCTTTCTCTTTCTCTTTTCACTGCTTCCCGATCGACTGACGGCGTTCGAGATTCACGCAGGGGCATCGAACATGCCTAGCCCGCCGACCTCGGGGCTCGAGCCTCTATCCGCCACCACGACATCCTCCTCTCGCTTGGCCTCGACCGGGACGACGGCCAGCGGTCTCTCGGCGGTAGTCAGCGCCCTCCTCTTGGTCTTCTTCAGCAGCACGTTGTGCCGCCTGCTCTTGACGTGCTTCGTCCAGTCCTGCTCCGTGACACACGTCGTCTTACAAACCTCACACGTCCGGCGGCACAGCGTGCGTGCCGTTTGCGCCGTCGCCTCGCTCAGCACGTCCCGGGCCGTCTCCGACAGCTCCGCGGGCGCGGGCATCTCTTGGCCCTGGAGGAAGCGTCCGGCGATGTCGACGGCCGGGTCCGCGACGTTGGCCGACCATCGCGAGACGTCGGTGCTGTCCACGACGAAGAGGTGGTCCAGCGCGCCGGGCCGCTCTTGGAGGAGGGGCACGGTCTTTGTGCGGATCCAGCGGGTCTGGTACTTGGCGTACTGCCGCGTCGACGTCTTCATCTCTTCGAGGCCAGTGGCCTTGAGGGCCTCGAGGGCGGAGGAATCCGCGGGCGGATCACTCGCGTTGAGGGCCTTGAGGTAGGGCGAGAACTCCTTGAAGCCGATCGACTGCCAGATGCCGCGGGTGTAGTCCACCTCCTGGCCGGCGGCCTCCTTGGCGCGGACATACTCGTACATGGACTGCGTCTCATCGTTGAGGCCGGCGGCGAGCATTTTGTCCACACGCTTGTCGAGACGCTCCTTCAGAACCTCGGGGTCCGAGTAGACCCAGAAGAGCAGCGCCTGCAAGGAGCCGGCGCTTGCGGTCTCCGGCCTGCTCTCTGCTGCCTTGCGCTGGCGCTGTTCGGCGTAGATCTCGGACGCCGGGCGGCCGTGTTGCAGGTAGATCTGCAGCGAGCGCGAGATCTTGCGTCTGTCGTTCGGGTGCCAGCGGTCTGCCATGACGGGGTCTACCTCGCGCAACTTGGCCAGTATGACGTCAGTCGGCTCGTCGAGGATGGGGAAGGCGGAGGCGTCATCGTCAACCTTGACATCGTCGTCCTTTGTCTTGTCGTCATCGGCGCCGACAAGGGTGTCGTCGAAGAGCAGGGCGTTGGTGTAGTAGTGAGTGCCGCCGACGACGATGGGCAAGTTACCGCGGCTGCGAATCTCGTCGATGACCCTGTTCGCTTCGCGCTTGAAGTCCTCGACGATCCAGGTGGGCTGGTCGAGGCTGATGTGGTCGAGCAGGTGGTGGGGCACGCCGCGGCGCTCTTGGGTGGTGATTTTGTTGGTGATGATGGGCAGACCCTTGTACATCTGCATGGCGTCTGCGTTGATGATTTCGCCATTGAAACGGGTAGCGAGCTCTACAGCGAGCTATGTCGTGTCAGCATAAGGGCAAGCTGTCGCGTAGCCAGAGCAAAGAGGCACGCGACTCACCTCTGATTTTCCAGTTCCTGTCGAGCCCAGGATGACGACCAAAGGGTCCGAGGGCGGGGCATTTCGGGCTGTCATGTTGCCAACAACATTGTGTATGAACCTTCGGCTGATAACAGACCGAAGCGTCATGCCCAGGAAGCCACCGAAAACAAGAACAGCGAAGGGGCCTTACAGCATCGCGCGATGTTACTTCGTGTCCTGCGACCGGTGACTCAACCTTGGGCCAGTAACCGACTGACTGACTCTGCCTGGTTGACTGAATATCGCTGTCGCAAAATGTGGCATCAGAACGCATCGGAACGCGGCAGAAGGAAAAAATCTAGCGGGCAGGCAGTGGATTGGGCCACGGTAGGGGGGATTCATGGATCCTTGGAGCCTCCGAGACCCCTTGGAATAATTAAGCACTGGCCGGCCTGGGAGCTCTCATCCGAAATGTGGAGGGAACAGCGGTGGTGGTGTGCCCCCTCCCCCCTGTCTATGCCCCCCTTCCCTTCCCTCAGCCATCCATAACGGCTTCAAGAGGTGAAATTGCATGTCAATTGGCCGCGGTCACGTGTCATAGGCTCCACTGAATTTTGGACACATCGACAAAATGGCGTTTTTTGAAGCCAGATCGCAGCCGACCCTCTTTTTGTCGCCGCGTCCCTCAGGTCTCCAACGCTGAAGCTGTCCTTTTGCTTCCTCTCCCCTTAATAACCTAAACCTTCCTCTCTCTCTCCATCTCCCCCATCACCTCCCTCCCCCCCTCCCCTCGCCACAACCCTGAGCCATTGTCGCTCTCTACCTCACTCTCTTCTTCTGCCTCCCCTTCATCTGGATGAATTAAGTCCTTTGTTTATTGTTTTCTCTCAGTGTAACAACCCATCATGAGTTCCCGTAAGTTGCATCCCCTCCCCATGCTCCATGCCTATAGCTCCAAAAAGGACACGCGCGCGATAAATGTTGCAAACCTGCCAACCACGCCCAGCCCCCAAGACAGTAATCGCATGACATGGAAGAACATCCCAATGGCTAACGCGCGCGCTTTCGCATCACAGTACGGTTCCTCGATCTGGTCAAGCCGTTCGTGCCGTTCCTCCCTGAGGTTCAGCAGCCGGAGACCAAGATCCCCTTCAACCAGAAGCTGATGTGGACGGCCTTGACCCTCCTCATCTTCCTGGTCATGAGCCAGATGCCTCTCTACGGCATTGTCTCCTCCGACAACTCGGACCCCCTATACTGGCTGCGTATGGTTATGGCGAGTAACCGTGGAACCCTGATGGAGTTGGGTATCACCCCCATCATCTCCTCTGGCATGGTCTTCCAGCTCCTCGCTGGTACCCACATGATCGACGTCAACCTCGACCTCAAGAGCGACCGCGAGCTGTACCAGACCGCCCAGAAGCTCTTCGCCTTCATTCTCTCCGCCGGTACTGCCACTGTCTACGTCTTCACCGGCCTCTACGGCCGACCCTCTGACCTGGGCGCCGGCATCGTCTTCCTCCTCGTCCTCCAGCTCTTCGTCGCCGGCATGATCGTCATTCTCCTCGACGAGCTTCTGCAGAAGGGATACGGCCTGGGCTCGGGTATCTCCCTCTTCATCGCCACCAACATTTGCGAGTCCATCATGTGGAAGGCCTTCTCTCCCACCACCATCAACACCGGCCGTGGCCCCGAGTTCGAGGGCGCCGTCATTGCCCTCTTCCACCTGCTCCTCACCTGGCCCAACAAGCAGCGCGCTCTCCAGGAGGCCTTCTACCGCCAGAACCTCCCCAACATCATGAACCTTCTGGCCACCATCCTCGTCTTCGCCGCCGTCATCTACCTCCAGGGCTTCCGCGTCGAGATCCCCGTCAAGTCTTCCCGCCAGCGTGGTGCCCGCGGCTCTTACCCCGTGCGCCTCTTCTACACCTCCAACATGCCCATCATGCTGCAGTCCGCTCTGTCCTCCAACGTCTTCCTCATCAGCCAGATGCTGTACTCCCGTTTCTCTGACAACCTCCTCGTCCGTCTCTTCGGTGTCTGGGAGGCCAAGGACGGTTCCGCTCAGCTCTCCGCCATCTCCGGCCTGGCTTACTACATGTCTCCTCCCTTGAACTTCAAGGACGCCCTCCTCGACCCCATCCACACCGCTGTCTACATCGTCTACATGCTGGGTGCCTGTGCCATCTTCTCCAAGACCTGGATTGAGGTTTCTGGCTCCAGCCCCCGTGATGTCGCCAAACAGCTCAAGGACCAGGGTCTCGTTATGGCCGGTCACCGCGACCAGAGCATGTACAAGGAGCTCAAGCGCATCATTCCCACCGCCGCTGCCTTTGGTGGTGCCTGCATTGGTGCCCTCTCCGTTGCCAGCGACCTCATGGGCGCTCTCGGTTCCGGTACCGGTACCCTTTTGGCTGTCACGTAAGTTTTGAAAGCCCCGTTCCTCGTCAAGTGTAGTACGTGTCGCTAACAGCATACCAGCATCATCTACGGCTACTTCGAGATTGCTGCCAAGGAGGGCGACCTGGCCGGTATGAAGGGCATGATTATGGGTTAATGTTGCCAGCCAACGAGAAAGACATGCCCTTTTCAGAATTACCGAAGCTTCTTCCTTTGTTCATGCGAGGCTTCCAGCGACCATTATTATCGATGGCGGCTATCTGTGTAATATCACGTTATACATTTGTTTCAAAAAGAAAAGTCACAAAGAGGCCTTGTTTCCTGGTTGGAGAACAAAAGCTATGGGATTTCATGATGATGGGTTAAGGTAGCATTGGGCAGCGGGGGCGAGTTCATTCTAGACAGCTGCTCGGCATGGCATGGCCGGCCAGAAGGGACGCCGAGAAGGGACGCCGCGGACTCTTGACAGAATACGTCATGGGTCGAGGAGGTCCTTGGTCTGATTGCTACTGGGAGCCGCTGATCTGGGAGTATTGTATCTAAAACCACGAATGGCGAACAAATCCATTTCACGAACCCCAAAGACCGGATCCTCATCCCACATTTGACTTGCAGTGACAATGTTATGTGGGGCTCTTCCTTTTGGGACCCGATCTGTCTGGTCGGCGCTTTCAACGGCCATGGAGCGGACATGATTCTGCCGCCTATGGTGCGAGAGATATGGCATAGCACACAGCAAGACAGCAAGCGAGTCGTAATTATGGGCCGTAAGAAGGCTGCAGGTAGAAAACCCGAGTTAATAACACGTTCGCGTCTGAACCGTGATATACGGATACTGTACACAAGAACCGAAAGGCCCAAGGCCATGTAAGCATCCCCCACCCCCCATTGGCCATAAGATTGAGCATAACATGGACATGTAAATCGAATATCTATTGAGGCCAGACGCGCAGACGCGCAGAGACAGAGAGCTCAATTGCCTAATGATGTTCTCTGGAGGATGGGTTAGGGTAGTGTGAGCGTGTATGTCTTGGCATGGGGGCTGAGTTGTACCCAGGCTGGTGCTGGACGCGTCGAACCGGCGGTATTGGTACATACATACAATACATACTCATGCGTGTTGACTCGAGGTAGACGGACCGCCTTGACAGCGCTTGCCGCGGAACGACTCAGTCTCGAACACCGCGGCGAGGCGACGTTGGAGCTTCTGCATATGACGGGGGTTCATCCATTGGCATCGACCATTGCTCATGTCTTTGGTCGTTTGAAAAGGGACAGCGGGCCACTCGAATAACATGAACCTCTTCAGGGGGGCAGGGGGCATACCCTGAGGCTACGCGATGACTGCTGCCTCCCTCATCAGCCAATGTGACGCACACCAGGGGTTCAGAAAATCAACATGCGGTCCAGTCGTGTATACTTCTTTCCTTCCTTCATAAGCCATTGTTCCTGGCTCGAGGTGGGCCATGCAAGGGGGGCCTTTGTCTCTCTCTCTGGCCGTTGACGCGCCGGCATCGAGTAGCAGTATCTGAGATTTGTCTCAGGTTTCCATTCTTCTCATCAAATTCTGCAGTGGAGTTTATATGAAAGGTCATGAGTGAGGCATGTCTCCTGAATTGCGCATACCAGCCTAGTTACAAGACCGCTGCGGATTCCCCCCCCCCCCCCCCCCCCCCGGCTCTGAGATGCTGGCTGAGGGTAGAAAAGACGGGTGATTGACGAAGGCCTAGGGTTCCCCCAGAGAAGCCAGCCTTGTGCCAAGCTGTGCTGCAACATCGAACAATGGGAGTCAAGTGACGACAAAGCTTTGTCGACCCTGCACTTGCAGGAAGGGAAGAGTACCCTACCTCTAGGGCCCTTGGCTGGGGCAGTCCGATTTGACCTTGGTGCGTGCGCTGCTTCTCGATACACCCGTGCTATTTGATGCAGATTTGCGTGTGGCTGCCTGCAAGCCGTTCAACACGTGAGGGACGGCTCGGCCAATTGACAACGTTGGGGACGGCAATGGCTGACCTGCAGCGCGCCTCCGACCCTGCAACGGCGGGCTGGTCAAGGGAGATGCAGCCGTGGACGGGTAATTAGTAGCGGCCGGGGGAGATGCCAGGACTGGTCAAGGCCGAGATGTTCGTAGCATCAAGCCGTCTGAATGGCGGTGAAGATGACTCATTGGCCGGTTCGCAGTCGTAGCCCGCAGGCCGGATGGAGGATCGGCTTCCTGGCAGTGGCTTGCCTCAATTGGAAGGTCAGCAACTAGTGGGGGGTGGTGGTGGTGGAGGTGCGGCGGATTCGTTTCCCAAGGGGGGTCCAGAAGAGGCTCTCGGCTCAAGCGGTGCTCGAGAAGCGAGAGCACGATGACGGGATTGACGGTAGTGGTCGAGACTAACCGCATGACTTGCGAATAGGCAGATCAGTTGACACAATTGGAGTTGCTTTGCAGGTCATAGGCGTTCATCCTGGTCACGGAGAACGTGTGCGTCCGTGGTGCCTGACTGGCGTGGACGAGGCAGAATACGGAATGTTGTGTTCAATTATCTGCGAGAGCTCCATAGCCTTGTATGTCTGTTACGAAAGAGAGCAAAGATCGGAGACAAGTTGCATCGTGGCTCGGTTCTGATCGTTGTGTGGAACGGTGGATCTTTTTTTTTTACCTCTATTTCTATTTCCATTTTTTTTTTTTCTCGTTCTTAAATATCCTTTGTTCACTCTTATTTTTT